TATCTATCTATCTATCTATCTATTGTTTTTTGTTTATTTATCGATCTATCTATGTATCTACCTATTTGTCTATCTATCTATTTGTCTTTCTATCTGTTTATCTATTTATTTATCTATCTATCTATCTCTCTATCTATCTATCTATCTATCTATCTATCTATCTATCTATCTAATCTATCTAATCTATCTAATCTATCTATCTCTCTATCTATCTATCTATCTATCTATCGATCTTTCTATCTATCTATCTATCTATCTATCTATCTATCTATCTATCTAATCTATCTATCTATCTATCTATCTGTCTACCTATCTATCTATCTATCTGTCTGTCTATCTATCTATCTATTTAACTATCTATCTATCTGTCTATCTATCTATCTATCTGTCTGTCTGTCTGTCTGTCTACCCATCTGTCTGTCTATCTATCTGTCTGTCTATCTATCTGTCTGTCTACCTATCTATCTGTCTATCTATCTATCTATCTATCTATCTATCTGTCCCTCCGTCCGTCTGTCTGTCTGTCTGTCTGTCTGTCTATCCATCTATCCGTCTGTCTGTCTACCTATCTATCTATCTAACTATCTATCTATATATCTGTCTATCTATATCTATCTGTCTGTCTACCTATCTGTCTGTCTATCTATCTGTCTACCTATCTATCCATCTATCTATCTATCTGTCTGTCTGTCTGTCTATCTAACTTTTTGTCCGTCTATCTATCTATCTATCTATCTATCTGTCTGTCTACCTATCTATCTATCTGTCTGTCCATCTATCTTTCTGTCTATCTACCTATCTGTCTATCTATCTATCTGTCTATCTATATCTGTCTGCCTGTCTATCTATCCATCTATCTATCTAACTATCTATCTATCTATCTATCTATTGTTTTTTGTTTATTTATCGATCTATCTATGTATCTACCTATTTGTCTATCTATCTATTTGTCTTTCTATCTGTTTATCTATTTATTTATCTATCTATCTATCTCTCTATCTATCTATCTATCTATCTATCTATCTATCTATCTATCTATCTGTCTCTCTGTCTGTCTATCTATCTGTCTTTCTATGTCTCTATCTATCTATCGGTCCATCTATCTATCTTTTTTCCTATCTATCTGTCTGTCTATCTATCTATCTATCTATCTGTCTATCAATCTATCTGTGTGTCTACCTATCTATCTATCTCACTATCTAACTATCTATCTGTCTATATCTATCTGTCTGTCTATCTATCTATCTGTTTATCTATCTGTCTGTCTGTCTATCTATCTATCTGTCTGTCTATCTATCTGTCTGTCTATCTATCTATCTGTCTATCTACCTATCTGTCTGTCTGTCTATCTATCCGTCTATCTGTCTATCTTTCTATCTATCTAGACTATCTAATCTATCTCATCTATCTAATCTATCTAATCTATGTATCTATCTATATATCTCTTCATCCATCCATCCATTCATCCATCTATCTATCCGTATGTAGTTGAATGGTATTAAATGTTGCATGTGGTAGAAAGATCAAGCAAATACTGTTTGGGGTCCCATAGAAACCTTGCAAAGCTGGTCACTGCTTTCTGCGTGGCTTGGTATTGACACTTCTCCGGAATGGAAAAGGAGCATCTCCACCATGGCCAGCCCTAGGGTCTCTTGCGACTGACTTGCGACCGGGGGAACTCCGAAGCAAAAAGGATGGCTCAGCGTGTTGAGACCCTGGCTAGTACACGTGGGTTTGTCATTTGTTTTGAGGATACCCCAAAATGGAGGTTTTGAATGATTCTGATGGGACCTCATCATGAAGCACGGGATTCTGGGGTGCCCTATTTTCAGACGAAACCACATGATCTTATTCAGAATTTTGATCGCAGAAAGTGGATGAAGATAGCGTCAAGAGAATTGGCCCGGGCCGTGCTGGTATTTCTCTGAGTCCCAGCAAGTTGTGATGTCGCAACTCTTGCCTGCGGGGAATGCACTGAATTTCTTTGGAAAAGGGCAGTAATTATTGCATTTCCGCCAGAATATTGGGCCAGGCTACAGGAACTCATTCTTATAGACGCCAGAGTAGAAACTCATGTTGCGGTCAATATCTAGGCCCAAGACCCAGCGGAAGTGCGGGATCATGGTCGCTTGTGCCATTTTCCACAAGCGAGGGAAATAAAACAACTGGCTATGACGGGTCAAAACCTTAGTACCTGAGGTACCCGAAAATAGCTGGTTAATAGTTATTCCCCCCAAAATATGAAAAAATAGATGTTGAGTGGTTTTGACCCAAACTATGAAACTGTACAACTGACTCAAATAGTGTTTTCATGTGTTTTCCTATGTTTTCCTGGCACGCGTGGACATATCATGAGAATCATGAGTGTTTGTGCCACGGCGCAGGATGGATCGAGAATTAGCTCAATTTCGTCAGCCGGAAAGCTCGATTTCAGTCCGCAGTCCGAAATGATCAGACAATGGAGCTTCAGATCTGAAGAACTTCTCTCGGTCAACGATGGCTGTGCTCAAAACTGTTATCTCCAGCGCTTTGGTGGAGCATAACAATGAGCCTTCAAGGTCCAAAGGGTCCAAAGGGTCGATTTCCAACAAACTTTTTCGGGCACTCACATCAACATCATCTTCCGGCATTGCAGGAGCCTCCACCAGCTCTGCATTCCGTTGATCTTGCAGAAAGATGAAATCTAACTGCATAGTTCTAGGAGTGCTCGCATTTCTGCGCGTCAAGGACTGTTGGAGGTCCCACGTGCAATTTTGCCTCCAGGCAGTTCTAAACAAACTTTTCTTCCTAGTCCTAAACGTCCCGCAATGAGGAAAAAAAAAAGCAGGTTCCCGTTTTCCTATCTTGTAATTTATTATGAAATTTTGAACTTGTTTACGTGTTTTCAAACTGAATTCTTCATTGGGAACTTTGAAAGGTAAATCAATTGTTTTGGAAGCGACAAAATATCTGTCCATTGAGTTTTATCCTTTATTGGTGAACCTTGAAAACCCATGTTTGGGCAATGTTATTTGATCATATTTCATCAATGTTGAAAGTGACAAACTATACACAGTAATTATATATGTATACTAATTATACTATATGCGTTTGCTCTGAAAAATCCTGGGTCCTTATGTAAAGACATATCATATCCCTAATGCAAGGCAACCTTTAAAAAAATGATGAGTCCAAGCGACTCGCTGAGTCCATCAGCAGAGACCAGGCCACACTGAAGCAATGGTTCGAGCTGCTGCGAGAGACAGACGTCCGGCAGAGGATTGAAATCACCTCCAGCATCCAGCCATCGTATGTGAAAGTGGAGATCCTCATCATCCCAGTTAGAATGTAGAATAAACATGAATATAAACAATAATGTTGAGACCAGTTGGAGGTTCGAGTGACATCACCTTCCGAATTTCATCATGTTTTGGTTTTCTGAAAAGTAATGACACGTTAAGAGTCACCGATTGCGAAAGTCGCTGGGCATGCTAGTCGAGAAGTGCGTGCGAGCAGGCTCGTTCAAAAGTATTGTAGACACGCAGCCCCCTTTGCAATTCGAAATCAAGAACAAATTCTTCTCTATCTACAATTGGATTTGGTAATTGGGATATTATCAAGTTCTTATAGTAATTCAAGAAACCATTGGATTTGGTAATACCCAGTTCACATCCCAAATCCAATGGTTTCTTGTCATACCCCATGAAAATCCCAAGAATTTAGGGGCCCATCCCGACCATCCGATCGGCTGAAGAGCCGCCTGCCAATAACACCGGTCCCTTGGCCGCAAATTTGGAGGCATAGGATCCCAAATCGCACCTGAAATCCAGCACGACGTGAAAAAGATATGTCACGATATGTCAAAAAAAAGTGGCAAAAAATGGATGAATCTGGATGAACTATGTAATCTATCCAAATAATGGATCAAAAGTGGATGACTGGATGAAACTAGCTTCAAAATCAAGTCAACAATGAAAGGAAAATACATATCCAAATAGATCTAGAAGGATTGCACATTGCAGATCAAAAATGGCTCATATTGCAGAAATCTCAGCGAAGCTTTGGCCATCCAACTGTATTTAATAGGTTTTCCACCAGGCCATGGAACAAGAATCTATATAGCTTCTATATAGCTTCTATATAGCTTCTATATAGCTTCTAGATGCTTTTAGATGCTTCTAGCATCTCCCAACTCACAGAGTCTTTCTCTGAGATGTTCTAGTTTTCATCACATGCTTCCCAAACATCGGCATTTCATCAACTTACGAGTGTTTCACTAGCTCTCTTTGGGGCCTTCCTCACCCCTCAGTTCATGTGGCATGAACCACAGATTCAAGGCACAAGAGCTTGGTGTTGTCGCTTTGATGTGGCAAATGCGTATTCAGCACCGTCATCCTCTTGCCATGCTCCAGTGGAACAGAGACGCGCAGTACACCGCGAGGTCTGAGGTTGAAAAACACACCTAGCCATGACCTTGGCAAAAGGACAAATGTCAGGCACCGTCATTTCATTCAAACCACCAAGGAAACCGAACTTGGCAGCAGCATAGTTGGACCACTGCAGGTAGAACTTTGTGTTATTTTGGGTAGGGTCGGGTGGGGTGGGGTAATAGCATTTGCTATCACTTGCGCACATACCTCGTGCTACCTTAGACATGGGGTGAGCTGGGGTGGGGTTATGGCGTAGGGCAGCAACATCACTTGGACACATACGTGACGCTGCTAGTAAGTTACAGTAAGTTAGAGTTGAGCTTCACCAACTCACCCCACAGACATCATTGGACATCATTCAGGGTTCGGGGGCGGTGCATTTTTCTGGTGCATTTCTCCAGTCAAAAACACATTCTTGGCATTTCTTGACCCAGGTTTTGTCTCATTTCAGACCCCGTGTTTTGCTAAAACCTCCGAGTGTCGGTCTGTCCCTCGTCGCCTGGACCTCGCTTCGAGACCTTTGCAGGTCGCCAAAGTGATCAAAGCTCTCCGCCTGAAGACCTGCGATGGCCTCGCAGTTCCTTACTAAGGCGCACCATTTTCAGTTTGAAAACTCGGGAACCCTCCCGTAAATGGAACTCATTGGGATTCCTGGTCAAAAGTCACCAAGTTTATAGATGTTTATAGATGTTTATAGTGGTTTGGGATGTTTGGGATGTTTGGGGTCCTGGAGTCCAAGTAAACCTGGCTCGGAGGTGATATTCCAGGAGACTTCGAAAACTGCCCCTTCCATGACCTTCCGCCCAGGGTCTTTCGTCGCAGCACCACTAGTTGCCCTGCAATGTTCCCAAAAAGGAAGTGCGCGGGGATGGAGTGTCGCCATCGAATCGCCAGGCTCATCGACAAACAGAGAGCTACCAGTAGCCAGGTCCAAAAGAGATCGCTACAAAACCATCGCATCCGGCCCCACGGAACCAGGATCTGAAGGAACAGACTTTGTAGAGCTCCCATGCTGAGGAGAAAACATGTCCAAAGAACCATGGATGGTATTCTTGGATGGCATCTCAAATAAGTGCAATCGAATTCCTCTGACAGGTGGAGCATCAGCGAGTCCAGCATAGAAGTGCTCAAGACTTCTTGAAGCAAAACCTAACTTGAAACATCTTGAAACTCTTGCGCAAACTTGGGGTATGATAAGTATAAGATAGTATAAGTATAATATACAATATCATGTATTCCGAAATGAAACCATTGTGAGGCCCTGTTATGGTCTTGTGATGCTTTGTCTTTGTGTGTTTTTTTTCGCTTCCAGGGTTTTTACAGTAATCTCAACCCCGCTCCTCTGGGCGGTTTGTATAACTGGGAGGCTGGGAGGGTACCATTTTTGTAGCAAATCATCACCACCTGGGGGTAACCCCCTCAAACAAGTTCTGATGAAGCAAGTTTTGGAAAGCCAAATCAGCTCCCGCATGTCGGATGTAGTCCGCTTGGCGCGCATAGCGCAGTTGGGCAGATCCATTGTTGATCTCCATGGGCGCATCATAGCAGGCATCATGCCACCAACGTCCCAAGAAAAGCCCCAGAAGAAACTTCAGTGGATGAATCTGCAAAGGGAAGGAGATGGCACATGCATTCCACGTCATGATCCTCAAACGACTCGTCTTGGGCACCATTTCACTGATCTCAGGGGCAACAAAGCTACTCTCCAAGCATTCCAGCGTGGCGAGAGGCTCCAGGATTTCGCACACCTGCCATGATGGTAGCCATATGTAGCCATAAATGACTGAAGGCTGTGAAAAATCTCACCCATATCCATCCACATCCCATATACTTGCCCTGTGATTAAATAAGATCGAATCATAATCTGGACACCATGGACCATCATGGACCTCATGTTGAAAATGACTCAGAGATGTCCGTTTGGAATGCAGGGCTTTTTTTTTCAAATCCTACCAATTCATCATATTTCATCATACCAATCCATGATATCCATGGGACTCCACCACTTAGTGTCTCACCAAAACCTTAAATTTGCAACGGACACTGGCGCTGTTCACCAAGCCTGGCGACTGCTCTTGCGGCTTAAGGTGATTGCTTTGGACATGAAGAGCACCGATTCGCAGAGCCTACGCCAGAACCTGGCAGAACACACAGTTGTTCTACGAATAAATTGAGCCACGAATAAGGTATCCTCAGGTTAGGTATCACATGGTATCACGATATCATTTTTTCTTGATTCAGATGATTCAGGAATGCTAGATGCAACACTGCTGCAACACTTTTCCACTCACAGAAATCGCTAATCTTGGGAGGGTCAAACTCCATCTGAAATGCCGCGAGTTACTCGGCGTTTCTCTGCGAGTCCAAGGCTGAGCTATAGATTTTTGCATGTTTCTGGAGGATCCTGGGCACGGCGAAGAGCAGTGGAACTAATTCACAGTTTGTTTATGGTGAATATTGGGTAATATGGTTGGCTAATGGATGGTAATGCTTCATGGAACAACTGCCTTTTAATGCTTGGTCATTCAGGACTCCCAGTTCAACCATGATAATCCCCAATCTGTAGAGGCTAGTGTAAGCCGACTCCCCTTAACCATCAACAAACACCAGGGAATTTGAAACCAATAGCATGTTGAAGCTCCCTTCCCAGCTTGATCCATGGACTGGCTGCTGACCTGGTTTTTGACAACTTTTGAGACAGAGGATCTGTGAGGGGAGGCTCCATTGTTCGGAGAAAAAACATATGTACTGGAACATGCTAGCACTACAGTACACTTTTTGGTGGCCATGCCCCATGTGTGTTCATTTCTACATGTTCTGCTTATCCCAAGTAATGAATGGGTTTGATCCATGGTTCCCTCCTCACGTTTACTCTAAACAAAATGTTTGAATACTCGGAAAAGCATGGGGAAACAATCATCAAACATATGTTGCAACATGGGAAAAAAAAACATGGAAATTCTCATATTTTTGGCTTGCACTCTGGATCCACCTCAACCCCTCAAAACAACATCTTGGTGAAACAAAAAAACAATGCTTGGTTTCATCCCTCCTCCATTTTGGGGATAAATCGCCATGATTCATTGAATCCCAATTGGCTGAATATGGCAGGTCTATGTAATCCCAAGTTTTCTCCATGTTGACATGTCAAACCCCCATTTTGACTCCCGATTTTGAGTCAAATCCCTATTTTGACAGCTGGAAATGTTACGATTTTTTGGTGTTGCGTAAATCCATGGGGACCACGGTCCCAGCGTCGTTTTGACCGCCAGGTGATTCAGCATCGCGAAGGTGGCCAGCTGCTCGCCTTTGGCGGCTCCATCGAGGCGCTGGAAGAAGGCATCCACCTGGGGGCCATGGATCTGTTGGAGGTGAATCCGTTGTATATGGATATACAAATGTACACATTATAATTCATAGATACAAAAACGTTGCTAATAAACAACTATAAATAAACTATATATATATTGTATGTGTATATATGCACATATATATATCATATGAGATGTTATATATATTGTAGTTGTTTATAGCAACATGTTTATATCTATAGATTGATAAGTGACTACTTAACACCTGTTTGATCATATGTTACTATATCATTCTATACCTCTAAATGTTGCTGTATCTTGATGTGTTGATATACCATCTATGAATGGCTTCATTGAGCTTTTTTAATTGTTGCCACGTGTTGCGAGTTTTAAACAATGGGATGAACATTGGAAGGAGCCTCAAACCATCTCAAACCTGGGCCCTGTGACTTGGAGTCTTTATTGCCATCAAATCAAGGGTTAAACATCAAACCTTCAAAATAGGTTGACATGATTGACATCATTGACATCATCTATGTATATTCATAGGATGTTCGAAAAAATCTGGAGCTCCCAAATGAGTGGAATTCCATGGAATTCCACATATTTCAAGAATTGGCAGGATAAGACCCATCATTTCGTTTTCTAGTTTCTTGATCCAGTTGGGAATAACCCAAATGGGCCCTCCATGATCCAGGTGATACTCTGCCAAGCTGGTTTCCAAGAGCATCTCAGGGAACCTTGGGTCTCACCTTTCAGGCCACACTTTTTTCTCAACCCGACCTCTTCGATCTCATTCAGTAGGGTGTCCAAAAAAGATCCCGAGTGTGGACTTCGTAGCATCTGTTTCCTTGGTTGATGCTGGCCTGCGTATGTGCCAACCCCTGCTCGGAAGGGAATCCCCGAATTCTGACGCCTTGACATTTCTCAACCCCGAATGTTGGTAAAGCAATGTCATAAACCCATATTTTCATGGTTTGACCCATCAACATGGTGATGACTTGTTACTATACAACATGATTATAATATGACATATGATGTTTTTCCATGTTTTTCCAAGCATCAGCACATCATAGGCAATGTATCGCCACTCTGGGTGACGGTGCACTGCAAAGACATGCTCGAAACGCAGCGCCATGGCAACCCCATCGACACGTCTGCAGCTCCACACGGTGAGCCGAGATGGTCAAGAAACATTGCTGTACCTCATCACAAGCTGATATAGTATATATATAATATAATGTATATTATAATACAAGTATAAACATATACATATCTATACATATCAATACATATCATATACTTTTTTTGGCATGTTCAAAAGTGGGGACTTTTGGAGTGGTTTAGTTGATGGTTGTCTTCGAAGGGGAAACAACTGTGGTTGGGTCCCTCCATTGCTGGGCAGTGCATATTTCCAGCATTTTCCATCAGCCCCAAGCAGTAAGTAGAATGCCAATCTACCCTGACACATCGCAGAAACTGTCGGAAATACCAGCAGATTCAAGAAATGACCAATCGATGTTTGTGGCTTTACCTCTGTACATTGCAACCATTTCAGATCTTTCAAATCAGGATGATAGGATGATAGATTGGATCCTTGAGAGTAACATCTAGAGTGACATCTCGATTCAGCGAAGGCCTCATCAAGGTCGGCCACCTCCAAGACTTTTGTGCTAAAGAGATCTGGCGAGTGCTGAAAGGTCAACTCCTCTGCCCTTTCGGGAATTTCCGGTAGACAGATGTGATATGATGTGATATGCACCAAATTATAAAAAGAAATCTATCAACATCATTAAACAATGATATTGATATTAGAATGATGGTCTATTTTTTCGAGCTAGCTCAAAACATGTAGCTGACTCAATTTCATCAGGGGTATGTCTTTGACAGTCACCTTGGGCTTTTTCAGAGGTACCATATCTAGTACTAAACTAATCAGTGGGGACAGAACCTGGCAATTTAACACATTGGGAAGTTTCTGCGAGCTCGCTCAACTGCAACGAGCTGGCTCAGCACCATCGAGCTAGCTCAAACACATCGCTCTAGCTCAGAGACATCGAGTTAGCTCAATGGCATCGAGCTGGCTCAATTTTTTAGCCCAAAAAAAAAAATTGAGCCAGCTACGTCACGTTGAGCTGGCGGACGAATGTGAGAGCATCAAAACGAATACTATGTATTGGCCGGGTTGATGACGGGCCATCGAGCCGGCTCAAGAGCATGTAGCCGGCTCAATTTTTGCGGAGTTGTTTTTTTCCGCTAAAAAAATTGAGCCAGCTACGAGGCGCTGAGCCAGCTACGAGGCGGTGAGCCAGCTACCAAGCATTGAGCCAGGTACGTGGCACTGAGCCAGCTACGTGGCACTGAGCCAGCAAGGTAGCTTTGAGTTAGCAAGGAGGCAGTGAGCCCAGTGAGCCAGCAAGGTAGCTTTGAGCTTCATCATATATATACCTATGCAATCCCAACCATATCCGCCGACCCCGGCCTTCGCCAAGGCCGGGGCGGCGCCTGGGACCACCGCAGGTGTGGAACTTTTCCTTCTTAGCTTTCCAAGGTCAAACCACATCGCGTAAACCTTCTCCTGGCATGCGTCATCCTCCAGTTCAGATTTCCAGGCATTTGGACATGAAAATTATATGCTTTGGGCAAGTAAGTTTTCCTGCGGAAAATTTGGTCTTTCAAGGCCAAAGCAGCCGTTCCCGCATTCCCGTAGTAGCGGTTCAAGTCATCGACCTGATGAAGACGGCGGGGCCCGTCCTTTGCCTTCCGCGCGGGCACCAAACACGCGAAGGCGCCTGCGCCGGCTTCACCTGTGCAAGGCCTTCCGCGCGGGCTTTAAATGTGCGCGGCAGCTTCCACCAAGTTCCTGGCCGTCAGCGTTCCAGCATTGCAGCCTGCCCTTTGCCTGCACATAGCCCTGTCTTGTTAGGGCATTCGAGCCTGCCGTTTGCCAGCCTTCAAACGCTTAAAACCCCTAAAACCCCTAAAACCCTCCACCGGAGGTGTGGAACCGCGCCACCTGCCACCACCCTTACAATCCTCCAACTGCTGCATGGCTTAGCTGCCACCAAGCCCTCTGGCCGTCAGCCTTTGCTGCTTCAGGGTTGCAGCCTGCCCTTTGCCTGCACCGTCAGCGTTCCAGCATTGCAGCCTGCCCTTTGCCTGCACATAGCCCTCTCTTGTTAGGGCATTCGAGCCTGCCGTTTGCCGTTTGCAGCCTTTTTCAAACGCTTAATTTGAAAAACCCCTTTAAAAACCCCTAAAACCCTCACCGGGAGTGTGGAACCGCGCCACCGCCACCCCCCCCTTAAAAATCCTCAAAAACTGTGCTTGCATTGGCTTCCCTCGCGGGCAGCTGACACCAAAGGCCCTCTGGCCGTTCAGCCTTTGCTGCTCCAGGGTTGCGGCCCTGCCCTTGCCCCTGCATTGACATTCGTTGCCAAGCTTTACACCCTTTTGAAACTTTAAAAATCCCTAAAATAAATAAAACCATCCCTCGCGGCAGCTTCCACCAAGTTCCTGGCCGTCAGCGTTCCAGCATTGCAGCCTGCCCTTTGCCTGCACATAGCCCTGTCTTGTTAGGGCATTCGAGCCTGCCGTTTGCCAGCCTTCAAACGCTTAAAACCCCTAAAACCCCTAAAACCCTCCACCGGAGGTGTGGAACCGCGCCACCTGCCACCACCCTTACCATCCTCCAACTGCTGCATGGCTTCCTCGCGGCAGCTGCCACCAAGCCCTCTGGCCGTCAGCCTTTGCTGCTCCAGGGTTGCAGCCTGCCCTTTGCCTGCACCGTCAGCGTTCCAGCATTGCAGCCTGCCCTTTGCCTGCACATAGCCCTCTCTTGTTATAGGGCATTCGAGCCTGCCGTTCTCCTGGCATGCGTCATCCTCCAGTTCAGATTCCAGGCATTTGGACATGAAAATTATATGCTTTGGGCAAGTAAGTTTTCCTGCGGAAAATTTGGTCTTTCAAGGCCAAAGCAGCCGTTCCCGCATTCCCCGTAGTAGCGGTTCAAGTCATCGACCTGATGAAGACGGCGGGGCCCGTCCTTTGCCTTCCGCGCGGGCACCAAACACGCGAAGGCGCCTGCGCCGGCTTCACCTGTGCAAGGCCTTCCGCGCGGGCTTTAAATGTGCGCGGCAGCTTCCACCAAGTTCCTGGCCGTCAGCGTTCCAGCATTGCAGCCTGCCCTTTGCCTGCACATAGCCTTGTCTTGTTAGGGCATTCGAGCCTGCCGTTTGCCAGCCTTCAAACGCTTAAAACCCCTAAAAACCCTAAAACCCTCCACCGGAGGTGTGGAACCGCGCCACCTGCCACCACCCTTACAATCCTCCAACTGCTGCATGGCTTCCTCGCGGCAGCTGCCACCAAGCCCTCTGGCCGTCAGCCTTTGCTGCTCCAGGGTTGCAGCCTACCCTTTGCCTGCACCGTCAGCGTTCCAGCATTGCAGCCTGCCCTTTGCCTGCACATAGCCCTCTCTTGTTATGGCATTCGAGCCTGCCGTTTGCCAGCCTTCAAACGCTTAAAACCCCTAAAACCCCTAAAACCCTCCACCGGAGGTGTGGAACCGCGCCACCTGCCACCACCCTTACAATCCTCCAACTGCTGCATGGCTTCCTCGCGGCTGCCACCAAGCCCTCTGGCCGTCAGCCTTTGCTGCTCCAGGGTTGCAGCCTGCCCTTTGCCTGCACATCGTTTGCCAAGCTTTACACCCTTAAAATCCCTAAAACCATCCCTCGCGGCAGCTTCCACCAAGTTCCTGGCCGTCAGCGTTCCACCATTGCAGCCTGCCCTTTGCCTGCACATAGCCCTGTCTTGTTAGGGCATTCGAGCCTGCCGTTTGCCAGCCTTCAAACGCTTAAAACCCCTAAAACCCCTAAAACCCTCCACCGGAGGTGTGGAACCGCGCCACCTGCCACCACCCTTACAATCCTCCAACTGCTGCATGGCTTCCTCGCGGCAGCTGCCACCAAGCCCTCTGGCCGTCAGCCTTTGCTGCTCCAGGGTTGCAGCCTGCCCTTTGCCTGCACCGTCAGCGTTCCAGCATTGCAGCCTGCCCTTTGCCTGCACATAGCCCTCTCTTGTTATAGGGCATTCGAGCCTGCCGTTCTCCTGGCATGCGTCATCCTCCAGTTCAGATTCCAGGCATTTGGACATGAAAATTATATGCTTTGGGCAAGTAAGTTTTCCTGCGGAAAATTTGGTCTTTCAAGGCCAAAGCAGCCGTTCCCGCATTCCCGTAGTAGCGGTTCAAGTCATCGACCTGATGAAGACGGCGGGGCCCGTCCTTTGCCTTCCGTGCGGGCACCAAACACGCGAAGGCGCCTGCGCCGGCTTCACCTGTGCAAGGCCTTCCGCGCGGGCTTTAAATGTGCGCGGCAGCTTCCACCAAGTTCCTGGCCGTCAGCGTTCCAGCATTGCAGCCTGCCCTTTGCCTGCACATAGCCCTGTCTTGTTAGGGCATTCGAGCCTGCCGTTTGCCAGCCTTCAAACGCTTAAAACCCCTAAAACCCCTAAAACCCTCCACCGGAGGTGTGGAACCGCGCCACCTGCCACCACCCTTACAATCCTCCAACTGCTGCATGGCTTCCTCGCGGCAGCTGCCACCAAGCCCTCTGGCCGTCAGCCTTTGCTGCTCCAGGGTTGCAGCCTGCCCTTTGCCTGCACATCGTTTGCCAAGCTTTAAACCCTTAAAAACCCCTAGTTCCTGGCCGTCAGCGTTCCAGCATTGCAGCCTGCCCTTTGCCTGCACATAGCCTTGTCTTGTTAGGGCATTCGAGCCTGCCGTTTGCCAGCCTTCAAACGCTTAAAACCCCTAAAACCCCCTAAAACCCTCCACCGGAGGTGTGGAACCGCGCCACCTGCCACCACCCTTACAATCCTCCAACTGCTGCATGGCTTCCTCGCGGCAGCTGCCACCAAGCCCTCTGGCCGTCAGCCTTTGCTGCTCCAGGGTTGCAGCCTGCCCTTTGCCTGCACCGTCAGCGTTCCAGCATTGCAGCCTGCCCTTTGCCTGCACATAGCCCTCTCTTGTTAGGGCATTCGAGCCTGCCGTTTGCCAGCCTTCAAACGCTTAAAACCCCTAAAACCCCTAAAACCACCGGAGGTGTGGAACCGCGCCACCTGCCACCACCCTTACAATCCTCCAACTGCTGCATGGCTTCCTCGCGGCAGCTGCCACCAAGCCCTCTGGCCGTCAGCCTTTGCTGCTCCAGGGTTGCAGCCTGCCCTTTGCCTGCACATCGTTTGCCAAGCTTTCAACCCTTAAAACCCCTAGTTCCTGGCCGTCAGCGTTCCAGCATTGCAGCCTGCCCTTTGCCTGCACATAGCCCTGTCTTGTTATGGCATTCGAGTCTGCCGTTTGCCAGCCTTCAAACGCTTAAAACCTCTAAAACCCCTAAAACCCTCCACCGGAGGTGTGGAACCGCGCCACCTGCCACCACCCTTACAATCCTCCAACTGCTGCATGGCTTCCTCGCGGCAGCTGCCACCAAGCCCTCTGGCCGTCAGCCACTGCTGCTCCAGGGTTGCAGCCTGCCCTTTGCCTGCACCGTCAGCGTTCCAGCATTGCAGCCTGCCCTTTGCCTGCACATAGCCCTCTCTTGTTAGGGCATTCGAGCCTGCCGTTTGCCAGCCTTCAAACGCTTAAAACCCCTAGAACTCCTAAAACCCCTAAAGCCCTCCACCGGAGGTGTGGAACCTGCTTTGTCATAGCCCTCTGTTATTGAGGCATTCAAGCTTGCCGTTACCAGGCTTCAAACGTTTCAAACTCTTACAACCCTCCAAATCCCTCGCGCCACCTGCCACCACCCTTACAATCCTCCAACTGCTGCATGGCTTCCTCTACTTCTATATACTGCCACCACCCTTACAATCCTCAACTCGAGCTCCCACCGGTCTGTTTCGTGTAGGTCTTGAAAGTCTTTACTTCTCCTGTGGTTTTATTTACTGATCCTGCCCTGCCACCCCCACAAAGGGGGGGTCGGCGGCACAGGGCGCTAGCCCATTCTATTGGAGGTACCTACCATATATAGGGCCGATTTTTTAGGGCTATGTAAGGAGATATACCCCCAAAATATGGCCTGAAAAATGGTACAGTACCTCCAATTTAGGATCCTGAAATTCCCATTGAAAGAGATCCCAATGATCCCAGAGTTTACGAAAAGAAACCAATGAGATGTAAGCCGAGTAGTTGGAAACATGTTGGAAACTCTGGTTCTTATACCAATGATTGGTTCCGTTCTAATGATTTTCGTGATTTACATTGAAGTATTTAGCCAATACCCAATGAGTTTACCTTTTGGGGACGAAAATTGATATTCCCTGAGTTGGTATCCTCCAAGTTGGTCTTTCAGGCTAAACCACTCTGGGACATTGATAGGCTGCTGCGACCAGGTTGCAATGAGATTGAGGACATAGTCATGGCCGTCTTCATTGACGCTCATGCGAGCAGTGTTCAATTTGATTGTGATGCCTGCAGGAATTTGATGCATCAAACCATGTACGAAGTGGACGTATGGTTGAATCACCCAAGAGATAATAACATCTGGCATGCCCTTGAATGTTGTAATCAGCACCACTAAGGTATATGTATCATCTGGAATCTGGCCTCTTTCTCGTTCAATGTCCATGCTGTCAAGCCTGGGTATCCGGGTCACGCAAGAATCACGAACCAGATCAACAGCTCTATCATTCTATACAATATAGTTTAATCATTTTCCACCTCGTTCCATGAAAATTCGCAACTAGAACAGCAACTAGCGATCGTTGCGCGGGCCAAGCTGCAGCTGTGACTTCATATCTTCTTTGGCAACGGTGCCGGTCATTTCCAGCAATCGATCAGCCAAAGTGGACTTTCCTGCGGGTCCAATCCGCTGGTTACCAGTTCTATCATGTTCTATCAATGGCCATGACTCAGGAACCGATTCATTGGAGGTACCTACCATATCCTACCATATACAAGGCCTATGTAAGGGCTATGTACCTCCATTTGATCCTGGAATTCGGGGGAACTCAAGTAACTAAAGCCACTAGCGGCGTGACCTGTGGAGTGAACAAAAATACGGCAAGGGAACCACCGGTGAAACAAATCTGGACAGAAATGGTGAAGTTTCTAGCAGTACCATCTTATATCAATATTCCCATCAATATTACCCATTGGGGTATTCCTTACCAATGTTGCCCATCAGTATGATCAATATTGGTATAATATGGTATAATATGATCCTGGTTGGTGGTTTCAACCATCTTGAAAAAAAATAGTCAGTTGGGATGATTATTCCCAATATATGGGAAAATAAACATGTTCCAAACCACCAACCAGATTATGTATGTATTACCCAAAAACATCCAAAAACATCCAAAAACTATCCATAAAAATCATTAAAACAAACACTGTTTCCTCAAAGATCTGCTTTAGTTTCCACATCTCATCTTTACATATCTTTCCGTCTTTTCTTGCTTCTAAGATGTGCAACTGTTGTGCACAGCCAAGTTGGTTCAACCCCCGGGCTCCATGATCAATGTGAGCGATAATGGAGAAGTTCCGGATCTGCGAGACTGGTGAGCTACCAGGTTCCAATGCATGCCGCACCACCGCCGACCGCGGATGATGTGCCGTCGCACCAGAGTTCCGGCTCAGCCGCCTGGGCCGGTGGATGGGATGCTTTCTTTTTGGCTGGGACAATGTAAAAATTACCGTTGAAACATGTTGAAACCAGGGTTTGTATACCCAAATATACCCCACATGTAAGGTTTTGCTGCAGATTTGCCTTCAATTTCTGTGAGAAAAGCTCATGTACATGGTTCATCTCCAACCAACTATATAGTTGACTGGGTCCAACTTCAATTGGCAAATGTCATCCAAATCGAGTTCGAAAAGGTCGTGCAGGTCATCATTGCTGGGCATGGGTCAAATCAATCCATATTCGGTCCTTCAGAAAATCAATTGGACTGGTTTCCTACTATACAACTCCACCAAACAAATACCCGGCCTGGTAAACGTTTACATAACTATGGAAAATCACCATGCTATTAATGGGTAAATCAACTATTTCTATGGCCATTTTCAATAGCTTTTTGTATGTTTACCAGGCCGGGTATCTCCAAAAATGGACATCCAATGCCAATCCAATGCCAGCCTGCGCCTGCTGAAGCTGAGACCGGCCACTCCAACCACCAATGGCAGCGCCCGAGAAACAGCGCTGTTGGTCGCCCCAGAGGCATGCCGTCGAGAAAGCGCGGTGTCCTCAGCGCCTCCGGGATGGCAGAACGGATCAATGGATTCGTCATAGCAAATCCATGGTGTTCTTGTCATTGATACATATTCATATTCTCCATGATTCTTGTTTGGATCGAACCAATTTTGGGATGGTGAAATTGCAACGCTCAACAACCGAACAGATTTGGAAGATCAACTTCAATTAGCACGGTTTCGAGGTTCCCTTCATAAACAGTTGGGAAAACCACAAATATCTCACGCTATAGTTGTGTTGGAACCATACATTCAGTGATTTCCTGTATTTCATGGCAATTGTAGATCTCTATTGATTGGATGTTCAGGAGTTGCTATTATCCAACAAATCATTGAATGATCTATCCCCTTCTACTGGTTGTGAGCTGGAAGTCGTGGCTTCAAACAAATGATGCTGTCATCGTTCCCACTGAGCATCATTCAACATATTCAAACAGCATCATCAAACATCATAAGAAGTATTGGACATAGTTCAAACATGTTCAAAATAATCAAACACCATGAAACATCATTACTCATAACCAAACATAATCATAATCAAACATCATCATAATCAAGCATCATTGAACATCATCAAACATCATAAGACCACATTAAACAACCAGCAACTGGTTACATTCAACATCATCAAACAACTCGAACAACCACTAACAGTCACCAACTGTTTTTTTCTATTCACAGTATTTCAACATCAATTTCAAAACATCAGTTTTTACCACCAGTCATCATCATGTTGGTCACTGTTCCCCCCCATCGTCGTACTGGCAAAATTTCAACTATACCAAGTACATGATACCAGCTGATACAAGCTGGCTGATCAGCAACCCCAGCTGGTATCATGTACTTGGTATACTTGGTATAGCTGATAGTAATCCCGGCTGATACCAGCTGGCTCATCAATTTCAACATCATCATGTTGGTCACTGTTTCCCCCCACGTCGTAGTGGCTTATTTCAAACTACCCTCTGGTAAACTAACATAGCTATGGAAAATCACCATTTCCAATGAGTAAATCCACTATAAATCACAATTTTCAATAGCTTTTTGTATGTTTACCAGAGGGTATACCAGCTGATCAACATCAACCACCAGCCGTATGGTCGCCCTACTGACGTCGCCTCGGCGCCCAGGCTGCGCAGGCTGCGCAGGCTGCGCAGGCTGCGCAGCGGTCCCCAGGTGGCTGAGGAAAGGCGGTCGCACCTCGCGGCGACGAACAGCGAAGATGTGGGATGATAGGATCATAGTGGGATATGATAGTGGGATACCTGGCCTGGCAAACGTTTAACCATGGAAAATCACAATTTTTCATGGGAAAATTCACTATAAATGATCATTTTCCATAATTATGTTAAATTACCAGAGGGTAGTAGCGGGAATTGGCATGATCGAATGGGGATATATATATATATATAATAAGCATCAATATGGGACTTAGAAAATCATATATATTTGGATTAGGGGGTTCATACCATCTGGGTAATTGAACATAGCTATGGAAGCCATGGCCAATTATTGAGTTTGATGATTTACCTATTAAAAACGGTCAATTTCTACAGGTATCTGGTAAATTACCGGAGGGTCAACTGAGAAAAACAACTGGGACAATAGTGGGATATACAACCAACATCAACCATGGCTATGTATACCCTCTGGTAAACTGACAGTTTGCTATTGAAAATGGCCATAGAAATAGTTGATTTACTAATTCAAAATGGTGGTTTTCCATTGCTCCGTTAAATTACCAGAGGGTATATACTGTAATGATTGGTTTCAAACGGATGGTGATGAAGTTTTACCACCCCCAGACCATCAATTTTCCCAACTCGGGGTGTCCGTTTTCACTTTTCCCGGGCTTAGCACATCTGGGAAACCGGGGGCCCCTTCAAAATCTCCATCTACCAAGAAGCGCTGCTGGACACACTCTGCATCTGAAAAAATCGCCAGCGGGAAAATCAAAGGAACTTCGAGACCCTGTGAATTTTCAATGCCGGGGCTGCTGGCTGCTGTCACAGAAATTGCGAAACATGGTTTCTCGATAAGCCAATTCACCAGATTGCGAAAATCGCATCTGCAAACGTCTTCGTCTCAAAATACCTGACTCGCAGCAAAATCACGCTAATCCCATGAATTTTGGGAATCCCATCTTGCAGCTGTGAATGATTTTCTTTGTTGTCTTGTCTTCATCTTCATCAGCTGAGTTCTTGAGCAGAAAATGCCATGGATGAACACTTTCTCCATCCTCGATAGTGATTTGCCTAGCGGAGACGTGTTGTTGGCATCCCAAAAAGAATCAATTGAAGACCACAATAAATTAAAGGCAGCAATGCAGTGGGGTAACCAATCTTATCCCAGAGAGTGTATACTAAGAGACATGTAAACTGGGCAGCTGATCACGCCATATTTTCGCATCGCTTTGTTATCGTTCTAGTTCTCGTTTTCTTAGTAAGATGTATTCGCCGACAACATGTCGCCCCATCTCGGGATCATATCCTTTTTCTTCGGGGAATGATTCTCAGTGGAAGGGGTTGGTTAATATCAATATTCCCATCAAAAAAAAAAACATAGCAGGGGGTATTCCTTACCAATGTTGCCCATCAGTATGATCAATATTGCTATAATAATTAGTATAATATGATCCTGGTTGGTGGTTTTGAGCCACCCCTCTGAAAAATGATGGAGTTCGTCAGTTGGGATGATGACATTCCCAATATATTATGGAAACATCCATTAAAATCCATTAAACCACTATAATCCATGGAAAGTCATAAAAGCCATGTTCCAGTCACCACCAAGCAGGATCCATATTGGTATAATCCCAAACATGCCCAAAGCAATCGTGCCAAACCAACCCTGCGCTGAACCAACCCTGCGTGCTTTTGCTACACGAGCGATCCTGGCTGAAAAACGTGTCCATTTGAGCGGAGTCGTTTGTGCCAAGGGCACTCAGTCCTTGCGTGAAAACATCCGCACATAGGGGGTCTTTGATGCCAAGTATGGGACTTGCGATAGACATCTACCCTCTGGTAAACTAACATAACTATGGAAAATCACCATTTTTAGCATAGTTATGTTAGTTTACCAGAGGGTAACCGGATTCCAAATCCTCTACGAAACTCAAATGAAAGTTGGAGTCGTACTTCAGGCAACAGGGGTGTTGTCACTTTGACAGAAAGTGATTCCCACATCATTTCCAACATATTTCCAACTGTTTTCATGACCGACCAGTTCTCCCTTTCGTTAGAGACTCGTCAAGCACCAGCTACAACCCGCACCATACGCTCCCAGCCAAGCTGCAAAAAACTGCACTGTGACAGTCAGCTGACCTTGGAACACGTGAAGCGACTGAAATTGCACGATACTTTGGATCGGTACCAGGAAACACTGCTTCATGATGCGAACTAAACATGTAGTGTGTATCAGTAAGAACCAAAGCAGCATGAAGAACTTACGAGTCATCTCCGTCTCCTCAAAAGATGTGGACCTCCAAAAAAAAACACCATGTATCAACATATCACATCACAAAGTATCACAATTTGTTGTAGCCGCTGAATTTGGTCAATTTTTTGTACCCCATTTTTTGCCCCAAAAATCCCGGGCCTCCCGACTCAGTTCAGCCACTTGTTCTCCACCAGCTTTCGGGCCTGTCGCTAGTGCATGCTGATGGCATCATGATGGATGTACTCGTCCCCCTTTAAATTAGAGGGAGATTCCAATACCAAATTATATACCATATATGGGATATCATATGGAATATCATGGGATATATGGAAAAAAATGGTGTTGGTATAAATAAAATTTCCATGATATTCCATATGATATAAAAAAATATGATGTTCTCCGTTATTGTTGGTTGGATACTGTGATTGTTGCTGTTTTCATATCCACTACAGTATATTGGTATTAACTAGTGGAAACTATGATTCACTATATATATATATATATTCACTATGTATTTTCATGTTTCTTTGCAACATATATCATCCCTTCTCATTGCAACAGTGCAATCGTCTCGAGGAAGCCAAATCCCTGCAGCCATTCTGAACAATCTACCAACAACTTCATCCTTGACATCAGTGGATATAGACATATAACTACAACATGTAAAAATCAATATATTAAAATATGTCATCTATATATTTGTGTATATCTCTGTATGTATCCATCTATCCGTCTATCATATTTGTGTATATCTCTATCTGTATCCATCTATCCATCTATCATATTTGTGTTTATCTCTATTTGTATCCCTCTATCCATCTATCCATCTATCCATCGATCTGTCCGTCTATACATCTATCGATCGATCTAGATCGATCTAGATCTATCTATATCTATCTATATCTACTGTATATCTAAATCTAAATCTATATCTATCTATATCTATATCTCTCTATATCTCTCTATATCTGTCTATCTATCTATCTATCTGTCTGTCTGTCTGTCTATCTATCCATCCATCCATCTATCCATCTATCTATCTATTCTATACATATGTGTCTGTCTGTCTATCTGCCTATCTGCCTATCTGCCTATCTGTCTATCTGTTTATCCGTCTATCTGTCTATCTGTCTATCTGTCTATCTGTCTATCTGTCTATCTGTCTATCTGTCTATCTGTCTATCGATCTATCTATCTATCTATCTATCTACTGTATAGATATCTATCTCTATCTCTATCTCTATCTCTATCCATCCATGCATCCATCCATCCATCTATCTCTATCTATGTCTATCTATATCTAAGAATCTATTTCTCTACCAGGTAGCCAGGTAGCCTCTATTCATCTAACCGGATCTACATCCGAATTTCACCTGGCTGACCACCAGGCCAAAGAGGAAGACCGCGAAGGTGAGGCAGATGGCCGTGGCGTTCAGGACCTGAAAAGTACCGAGATCAGCAGGAAAAATCCCTGAAAATCCCATGAAAATCCCATGAAAACAAGTGAAAAACCCATGAGAAAAATCCACGACTCCCCATGAATCATGAGTGGTATCACCAGGAAACACTTGTATTTCATGGGATAAGAATTGTCATGGAGATATCTTTTGAAGCTAAGCAACAATGAAAAATAGGATGTTCATGGTGATATTTTATGAGACATAAAGATCACATGTTGGGGAAAACATATGACCGTCCATCAATTTTTAGGGTACCCTCTCAGGCAAACCCATATCTGATCTAATGTAATCTAATCGAATCTACTCTACATATCTGTATGAAGTGGTGAAATCCAATAGTGCTGCATTGTCCATTGTGGGGATAATGACCACAATAGTTATGGTGCTTCATCATTCGAACATCTTCGAATCATACTAGGGCCGATCATAGAATCATATTGTCAACTCGGGCGATACTCAAAATCAACAAAATCAACCATACATGGCAGTGTGTCAAAACCTTGTACCCCTGTAGTTCACATCAAAATAGCTGGGATTTATGGATGTTCATCCCACTAAACATGGTATTAATAGGTATTGATCCATAGCCACATAGAAAAAAACCCTGCTGAAACAAAATGGGATGTTGATTCAGTTGATGTTGCTTCAGCCCCAAGTGATCCATGCGGGGGATGCCGGTCATTTTCCACCAAGTTTCTTCCGATGTGATGATCCCCAACGAAGCATTTGTTTGGGGTTCTCGAAAAATAGGAGACCCCCCCAATTTTCGTGCGAAAATCATGGGAACCATCATCATTTTCCATATTTAATAGTATTTAATACAAGCAAATGACATTTTCCATGTCCATTTTATGGGAATATCCCAATTTTCAAACAGATTTCCATGTCCAGGCCTTGCGGTTGTAGTACTCAGTCGAGTCCTGGGCGGAACATCAACAGACGACTCTCCGGCCAGGACGAAAAATGTGATCCTATCTGGTCAAGGCGAATTCATGTGGCAAAGCCAACAATAAACTCTAACTGGCTACAGTGTATAGTGGATTTTCCAATGAAAAATGGTGATTTTCCAATGAACAATGGTGATTTTCCAATGAAACATGGTGATTTTCCATAGTTATGTTACTTTACCAGAGGGTAACTGGCTACAGTTTTGTAGTTTTTTGACATCGTTGTATTCGGTTTTCGCATGTCTACGCCCGCATGCTCAAGACTTGGCAAGTGATCCTAGTGGGTAAGATCACTTAAATTTACCACATACAGTGATTTGGATCCCCTTCCAGCCACACATATCACTATTATAATCCCCATCAAATGCCTTAAATTCCCCTCATTTTTCCTAGTCAAAAAGCAACTCTTTCATGGGTCTATATATGTATATATATATATGTATATATATATGTATATATATATATGTATATATATATATATGTATATATATATATACCATCTCGGTAGTTAAGATAGCCATGGCAAATCACCATTTTTCAGTTCGCTAAACCATCTATTTCGATTAGGGTCATCATCATTTTCCATGGCAACCTGTTAGTCATAACCAGATGGTATCCCTCAAGATTTTCCATATTTCCAATCGGATTTTTAACATGGGTACCCTCTGGTAAACTAACATAACTATGGAAAATCACAATTTTTCATGGGAAAATCCACTATTTCTATGGTGATTTTCCATAGTTTTTTGTATGTTTACCAGAGGCTAACTCAGTTCTGCGTTAATTTTGGCGGGATCCCATGGGCTTCCGCACGGGATCGATGTTCTGTCCCGGCTCAGAGCCTTCTCCCCAGGTGGCCAGTGCTGGGGCAGCGTTCACCATGGAGAGACCCGCGGAGATCGCGGCGGCCTGGCGGCCAAAAAAAAAATCATGGGGATTAGATTGGGAAGATCTACAGATTATATAGATAACCCCAATATTTTATATAGATTTATATAGTTATAGCTAGTAAACAACAAAACGGTGCATAATTTATTATATAGAAACTATATATAGTGTGTGTATGTATATATATATATAATAACTCCAACATTGATATATATATATATATATATAGCAACTACATATCATATCATCATAAACCCTCTTATATACTACACTTAGGTGTATACATATAATATTAGATATGTTCAATATACCTATAACTTTGGTGGATTTGTTAAACTGGATCAAAGCTGAACTGACTAAACACCGGCAAATGGAGGAACACCATCCCAATATGGGGATGGGTCAAAACCCTGGTACCTAGTGAACCCCAAGTCATAGCTGGGTTAAAATGGATGTGAATAACCCACTAAAAATGTATCCATAGGTATTGACCCATACCCATATATTTCAACCTAGTCTAATTTGAACATTTTTTTTGGCGTGAAGGGACCCTACTCTCTGGTAGCCCGGCAAGAACATCAATTCCGATCGGTTTCTTTCACATGATCAAACCACTGTTGATATTGAGTGGTTTCCTCTGGACACCATGGGTTTTCCATGTTTTTTTTCCCTAACAGAAACCAACCAAAGCCGCGATTCTTTCCGGCCTCAGCAGCTCTGAGTTGAGGCTGCACCCGTGGCGCATTGCTGGGTGCTGGCACGAAGGTCAGCTGTCGCAAAGCCACCAACAACAAAGCCTCCAGCGCTCGCGGCTGCGCTGATTCCATCAACAAGGGGCCCAAAGGTGACCTCTTCCGATACTGTCAGTGCTTGGGGCCCATTCATCCGGGTTTAATCATCCGATGTCATTTGGGGATGGGTCAAAACCCTGGTACCTAGTGAACCCCAAAATAGCTGGTAAATGGATGTTCATCCCACTAAAAATGTATCTATAGGTATTGACCCATACCCATTTGTCAACCAGGGTTGACCATCTATTCTCAGGGCCTTTGTTTGGGCTGTGCCTCCTGAGGCGTGGTACTCACGCGACAGATGTGGATCAGAAATGGCAATATCATTGCTGGATGTTGATGCTGGATCCAGGAAAATCCACATATTCAACTGGTTGGTGGTGCAATGTGCCCATCTTGAAAAATATGAAATATGACTTCGTCAATGGGAATGATGACATCCCATAGAAATGAAATGGAACATCATGTTTTCATGTTTGAACCCACCAACCAGTTCAACATCTGTGAAATATCCAGGATTCCTAGATCTCTCAACATCAATTGAGCATCAGTCCCTTTGTGAATGGATAAGAATCCATGTTCATCGGGTCCCATTGGGGCTCCAAAATGGGTTACACCAAAACATGCACGGCAGTAACCGGAAGCTGGACATCCCCATCAAAAATAAATTAAACATGGAGGTTTTACATAATGGGAAAATAATCACACATGGGTGATTGTCCTATATATATATAATTATAATTATATAGAGTTGGCATAAGTTGGTGAAATATGCTATTTTATCCCTATCTATCTATCTATCTACTTATCTTATCTATCTTATCTATCTATCTATCTATCAATCTATCAATCTATCAATCAATCTATCAATCTATCAATCTATCAATCTATCAATCTATCAATCTATCAATCTATCAATCTATCTATCTATCTATCTATCTATTCTATACATATCTGTCTGTCTATCTGTCTGTCTGTCTGTTTGTTTGTTTGTTTGAATATAGAATTAATAATTATGTAAACAAATAGAATAGAATAGACTAGACTAGAATAGAGTGGAATGGAATGCAATGGAATAGAATGAATAGATAGAATGAATAGGTAGATTGATAGAATGAATAGATAGATAGATAAAGATAGATCTAGTCATAGGCAATTTATATTCAATATTTTCCACAGGAGGTCGCCCCAGGGCTCCCGCACCAATGGCAAAATGCTTCGCTTCGTGAAGGCCTTGGGCGACGCTGGGCGAACTCCGGCAGGTCCTTCGGTGAATATTGATGGATAATGGTGGGTAATGCACCGTTTTCCCATCATTACCCTCTGGTAAATTAACATAGACCCTGGCAGATTGGAAGATGAGTTTCCATTACAAATTGGTGATTTTCAGGGTCTATGTTTATTTACCAGAGGGTATAGGATTTTTAATGGAATCTTGGTCGAATCAAAAAATGGGAATGGGATCATGATGGGTTCATGGGAATATTTGTCTGTCAAATGGGACGTATTCAATGATATTTGTTTGGTCATATTCCATTAACATCTAATTTTTGTTGATAATTCCAAACAATGATGGGAATATCATGGGAATTTTGGAATATGGATAGGGGTTCCAAACGGGATAGTCATTGGGATGTTACCTGCAGCGGGATGTTACCTGCAGCGGTATCATCAAACATGGCTGGCAATGGGACATCCCTGAACCAAATATGGAGGTTTATAGCTGAAAATAACAATCATATTGTAATATTGGTGTTTATGATTGATGATTCATGATATTCTATTCAAGGATCAGATATTGGTATACCAATTATAAGGGCCAATCAATCTTCTGATATTAATGTTAATGAATTATCAATGAATATATATATATATTATATTAAGGTGTGATGCACCCAATGCCAGAAACTTAGAATTGCGGGATGGTTGGAATCCCATCCATTTATGTTTTTTTTTTGGATGGTTTAAAGTGATACTAGATTCATCCCACGAATCGTAAACAGGTTATATATATATCTTATATTATAAATTATATATATACAAATACCCTATATATTTGTTAGGTGGGACGATGACTGGGCCACTCCACTTACTGGAAGAAGCACTGCACCGATACTGGAGATGTTTGGAGTACGTCGTGAATCACCCATTTTTCCATCGCAGGTCTGTCAGGTCGCTTTGTCGGAAAAATATGGAAAAATTTATAGGGAAAAACCCAACTGAAACTGCTGAATTCTCATCATCTCATAAACTTTCTGAAATTGCCATAAATTGGAGGATCATCCTCTAAATCCCATGATACCCCCAGATGTTCACCATATCCGAGGGGATTCTCCCAAGAATTATACCCCCGTTCTATGCCATTTATATCTGAGCCTGACGCATCCTGGGCTTTCGCTTTTTGGAACGCGAAAGCCACTTTTTCACGTCGCACGCAGCATCATGCAGCGCAGGCTCAGCACATGCGTAAGGGGCACCTGGGCAAGTCCAGTGTCATCAGTTCCGTGGCTGACAAATCCCGGTTTTAATGAAGGTCTTTATGGGAAAATCAGGGGAAAATCGGCTATAAATGGAATTTTTCATGGGAAAATCACGGGACATCCTCGAAAAAAAAAAAGTAGGTTTATAGCTGGGAACATCATCTATAATGGTGGATTTTCCAGAAAACCATGGAGCTGAGTACCAGAGGCCTACTTGTAGCTCGAGGTGGCGAGGATTCTTGAGCCATTCCGTAACACATTGAGGATGGATTGTGGATGATTATGAAACCTTTCTGGATGGATTTCCATCATTGAGCTCGTACTACATTAGGTATCGAAACCTTACTGGATTCTACGAGCAGTTTTGCACATGTTGCAGATTGAATCCAGCTATCTTTGTTGGACACCCTCCCATGCACGCTCGCGCCAGTGGTACTTCGACCAGGACTCACTATCTGGACTTGTGCGAAAATAGGGCACCCAAGAATCGCATGGTTGAGAAACCAGTTTTCCCTACTGTCCATCTTAGGGTATCCACTCCCTTTGAGCAAACTGCAATGGGGATTTCAACCAGCATCAAGTGGGTTTATATAACTCCAGTACTCCAATACAAATACCAACCCTCCAACTAACACACAGACCCCGAGAATTGTGCATTTCTGGAGGAAATTCAATGTCTTCCAACCCCAAAAAATTACGGGTCGAGCTGTTGATTGAATAGTAACCATGAATATTTTTTTTGAAAAAACTATGGCATTCTATGGATACAATGGTAGATTTCCATAGATTTTCCATCCCAGCGCCCAAAAACCAGGGCACTGTTCTTTTCGAAGGCAGCCGCTCAAGACATAGCGCTTGGTGCTACTGGAACAGGCTACAACCTTGGCTCTGCCACCAAACCTCAGCGGGGGACATTTCTGCCAGAAGTGGCTGGTCGTTTGTAGTTTCTGTTGCCGGGCATGTTGTTAACTTGTGGGTAACGTTTGTTGATCATCCATCTATCGTACAATCTTGATATACATATATATATAATATGTGTGTACTGATAGAGTTATAGCTTAGTTTTCAACCATCCATTCTTTTTTGGGGGCAATAGTGCTCATCACCAGTAGCTTAAATTGATATAATGATATAATGCGATATATATATATTTGTAGTCTTTAGTCCCAGTAGAAAACCATCCACTTATCTCACTACTGGGACTTCTGTATCAAATGATGTTGTAGGTATGGATCAAGTGGTTGCTTAAGGCTGAAAATTGCTTGATGAGTACTGAACGTAATCAGTTCATTTCATCTGTGCTTCCCAACGCTTTTCAGCGGCGTGATGTGAGTTAAGTCGACAACTTGTACCAGGTAATTATTCCCCAATCCTACGAACCGTATGAGGTTTTTAAACATATTTCGCCAAGCGTAATGGGATATAATGGTGGGGATATAGGATACAATTATATATATATACAGAATATGTGAGGTTATGTGAGATAATGAGACATGTAGCAACGTAATCATTGTACAACAATATGATGTGGACATTTGTCCAAAGATGGTGTACATCTGTACATCTCTTCAATTAAATTGCGGGAAATCGATGATAATCAATCTGTTGGAATTGGGAATGCCGTATTTTTCACATCTTGTGTGGCATGTGCTGTGAAAAACACTAGGCGCATCACGCCGCTGAAGTCACATCACGAGCATTGTCTTTTGCAATGATTCATTGTGCGCGCCAGTGAATTCCGCAAATCATAGAAGGTGGCTGGAATAAAGGAAACATTGCGCGCGCGCGCAGTCAACATGCACTTTTTCCTTTGAATACACCTGCGAAAATCAACAAAGCAATGTGCCATAGCATAAGCAAAAAGAAACGCAGCCAGAACGAGGCCAAAACGAGGCTTAAGGCATACCCACCAAGGCCCTTTTGGGCCTGAAAACAAGGAGGGAAAATGAAACCAGCAACGGCACTCTGCAGCAGCACCCCTGCAGCTGCAACCCAGCTCCAAACGCAAACATGCAACTCTGCCTATACTTGAAGTAATAGCCCCAATAGCTTCGCTATCTGGGGCCCAAAAAACCTACACGAGGAAAAAAGTCAACTATGGAACTAGGTCAACCATGGAAAAAGCAAGCCGGCGCGCTGGTGAAACGGCAATCATGTATGATTGAGTACAAATATCAAAGCACAAGATTTGAGTAAAACATAGTAAAACTGTGTGAATTGTGTGGCGGGCGCCAATCAAGATGCGACTTCAACAAGAAGATGCGACTTTAGTCAAGACCTATACCCTCTGGTAAACTAACATAGCTATTGAAAATGGCCATTTATAGTGGATTTTCCCATTAAAAATGGTGATTTTCCATAGTTACGTTAGTTTTCAAGACCTATAGACCCCCCGGATTTTTCACGAGGAACCCATTGGCATCGTCGCATTTTGCGTCCACCTGGAAGCTTGCGCGGCTTGCGCTGCCTTCCAAGATGACGTAGCCTCGGAAACCGCGCATCGCTTAACGTTTGAACGTTTAAAGTCAATGGCATCACCATGAAAATGGACTTGAGTTGACTTGAGTTCCTTGGGATATTTTTAGGGATATCTGACGAAAACCATTGCGTCACAAACTTTGTGACGCAATGTGTCTTAGTTTTACCTCGAAATTAAGAGAGCTATTGAAAAAAAAACACCCGTAGTTTGATGGTTTATACCAAGCATTTAAGAAAAACATGGGGATGATTTCTCATTGCTAACTGCTAACAGTAGGGAAATTCCCCAACGAAATGGCCATAACATCGGCCATCGCGGCCATAAAATCGGCCATCGCGCGTTGCGCGTCCCGCGCCTGTGGTGTCAATCGGCGGCAGGCACACCTGCTGGGTTGTCTCACCGTCTCCTGGCGGGCTATGCGGGGGTTTCCATAAATAGTGCTACCCCAGTAGCTGGATGGAAAAAATCATGGAAAATCCCATCTATTTTTATGGCTACATGGTAGCCAACTACGTGTCATACATGGTGTCATTCCATGTGTGCTGGGGCCGACCTTGGCATTTTTTGTTCTATTTCAATATGGTCATCCATCTGTGAAAGCTTACAATGGGTATACAAATGATTATGGATTCAAAAACGATGCCCCATACAATAGTATACAATCGAACTCTTGACCTTAAAGCCAATGAAATGTGTTTTTTCGCCAATGCCATTTCCACGGTGCTGCAAAAAAAAAAAACGCCATACCATCCGCAGGGTAGGTTTATGGATCTCAGTGCATCCCATCGGCTGGCCGCCATTTACATGTCGAAAAAAGGCTTGGTGTTATGAAAAGCAATGGGTCACTGGACTGATCGGTTATTTACGTTATTTTGATGATTTATTACAATGCTACATCTTTAGTCAGTAAGTGTTGGACGTATATCGTCCTTGTACAGAAACACCGATTCTTATTCCATTTTTTGGAAACTACACATCTATTTCTAGACAACCTAAACCATATTTTTCCAACAACTTCAATTTCCCAGACCCCCCAAACCACCAACCCAAACCACCACATAAGCACACGCTGAGTGATTCGCTAGTATTGTCAAATTTCGAACACCGCCTTTATCACCCATGGTTTCCCGGCAGTAGATGACGACAGGTTACGGTTCTTAAGTCATGGGGGATCCCCAAGTCACCATAGGTTTCAATGTCAATATGTTTCAATACTAAGTCATGGTCATCGATGATTTGGGGGTACGCCTATGACTTAGGAAACCACAGGAAACCATACTGTATCTCCCAACAAAGACCAGCTGTTCATTCTGGTACTCGGCCCGAATTGGGTCCCGGGTACGTACAGACTTGACCGCTCCTGTGCCGCTCACGGCTTCGACGAAGCTGTAGTGCTTTCGAATAAATTCAGGACTCAGAATTTCCTCGTAAACCTCAAAGTGATCGATGTAGCCATCCTCAAAGTGGCAGTGTGTCAAAACCTTGTACCCCTTCTGTTCACATCAAATAGCTGGGATTTATGGATGTTCATCCCACTAAAAATGGTATTAATAGGTATTGACCCATACCCAAGTGTCAGCAGAGATCAACTGCTATCCCCGTTGCTGCGATAGCTATCCCTGTTCTGGGTGGTGGAATTCCAACTCTCGTTGCTGAGATCCTGGAGTTTCTGGTTAAAATCTCCATGGCCGATCATTTTTTCTGATTTTAACGGCATGTTCTTCATGATTCTTCATGTAAACTTGCAAGTTTGAAACATTTTTAGAATATTTCCATATACCATCTGGTCCATAGAAATAGGTTTACCTATTTTCATAGCATGGTGGATCTTTCCATGGCAAACTGTTAGTCATAACCAGATGGTATTTCCTGAAATTTCCGGAACTCTCCCCCTGGCACTTTTGATTTCATGGGTCGAAATCTGAAAATGGGCTGGGCATCTCCTTTTTTGTGGCCATTTTTTGTCGGAACATCAAATAGGAACAATATTAGGGACAGTCAGAATTAACCATAAATAAACATAATCAACCATAATAGGAACATTAATAAACATTAATATGGGACATTTGATAGGAACATTAATTAACATTAATAAACCATAATAAACCAGGGGATTTTGATGGATATCCTCTCAAACAAACCCACCTTTATGACATAACCCCAGGCCACCATCCAAAATTTTGCGCTGCAAAGCATCGAACTGCTCAGCTTCTGTGGCCTCGTGAAGATCAGCTGTTCGAACCCCAAACCCGTCATCATGTAGCTGGAAAATCCCTATGAAAAATGGAGGTTTAGAGCTGGGAAATTCATCTATAGATATTCTATAAATATCTCTAAATGGATACTTAGATGGGATATAGATGGATAATGATGGATATCTATCATCTACTCTATTTTCATAGTATCTCTAATATTCTCTAAATGGATACAGTATTTCTTTGGGTTTGTCTGAAAACTACGGGAAACACTCCGACATCCGTGACATCCATAGAGGATTTTCTCATCAAATTGTCACACTTGTTGGGCAATAGCCAGTATAACCCCCGCACTAACCACCAACATCCACCAATCAATAAGATCCAATAAGGGGTTTAACACTGCTCACTTGCATTTGGAAGTAAAATTGCAACACATCTCAGATGTTCTCTTTAAATGGATTTCGATTGAGGTTTGCATCTTTCCATCCAGTAACTGCCTTTCCATTTGCCGTACCATGCCAGAAAATGCAGCACATGCCTTCGGTACCACTCAGCTGCGATGGGGTCAAGGGACCTTTCCAAGGATCAGGTACTGGTTCTTGGCATATACGATGTCCTCTAACTCCGACCAGGGTGTTGTACCGTCCTTCACAACCAGTGTGGCATGTTTCACCGATAGAGTCCGTTGGCGTTCGCGGTCAACAGAGATCCGCAACTGATCACTGGATGAAGAGACTTTTCAGAAATTGAATTGTCCAAATTGTCCAAAGGTCCTCCCTACTTTTTGATGAATCTTTCAGGTATGATGTTTTACGTCCATCAAATGACAGCTTTTCAGGTCTTCCCATCCCAGGTCTTCCCGACTCGTGGTGTTTTCCTCAACTTCTTCAGGCTGGCCGTTCAGGTAGAGCTGGGGAAATGCTCCTCCCACTCGCAGTACCACAGCCTGCTTGGTGGCTCATCCCACTTAGTAAGTGGGTTATAACCCCAGTTATAAATGGGATAAGTAGGGTTAATCCACTTATAACTAGGGTTATAACCCATTTACTAAGTGGGATGAGCCACCAAGTGGTTTGGAGGCAACCAACATGAACTGTGAAGTCCCACAACATAAACATCCGTTGCGCATCTCTGTTCTCTACCTATATAGCCATCTACAAAAAATGTTATTTTTCAACCTTGCGATCTGACAACACATTCGAATGTTTTCATGGATAGTTAATCCATCTTAATCCATGATAGACATGGGTATGGGTCAATACCTATAGATACATTTTTAGTGGGTTATTCACATCGATAAATCACAGCTATTTTGGGGTTCACCAGGGGTACCAGGGTTTTGACCCATCCCCACATTAATCCATGTCAATCCAGATAGCTGGGGATGGTAATTATGGAGTTAATGGTAATTGATATTGGTTTTGGCCAAACCAATGGTTTGCATTGACATTGATAGTTACTCCATCTTAATCCATGTCAATCCAGATGGGTCGATGGCTTTCCATCTGATGGATTCTGAGGTCAGGACGATGTGAGTCCTTGGCGCCAGGGATCCAGGATCCCTGGGGGATCATTTTTCACATGAGCCAATCACACCATGTATACAAAGGTATAGGTGTATGTATATATAGCCTCGTCCCCGCTTCTGGAACCGCGCAAACCTGAATTAGGTTGGTAAAACTTGTCCGATAATGATGATGATGATAATGACCCTAATGAAACTTGTTCATTCCGCGACGAAATTTCGTCACGGAATGGACAAGTTTTACCAACCTAATTCAGGTTTGCGCGGTTCATGAACGTTAACATCCTGCCGCAAGGTCACATGAACGTTAACATCCCACCCCCCCCCCCCACCCCGCATGTGCGTAGCATCCACTGCTGCCGCAAGTTCACATGAACGTTAACATCCTGCCGCAAGGTCACATGAACGTTAACATCCCACCCCACCCCACCCCCTCCACCCCATGTGGTTCCAGAAGCGGGGACGAGCCTATATATACAATAGACATAGGTGTGTGTATATATTAGTAACTATATATAAGTATGATGTTATAATTATATTGTTTTTTTCCTTGAATGGGTATGTATAAAATATTATAAGATTATACAAGATTGGACAACCATAGTTAGAGGCCTTCTTGATAAAAGGTTTGGGAGTTTAGAAACCAATGTTCCAGCTCAACCCACTCTTCCCACCCTTTATTTAATATTGCCCACCATTGCACCCCAGTCAATATGATTCAGGATTCTAGCATGTAGAAGGTTTGAACATGTTTGAACTCGCTTGGTATGGCTACAATTTCTGGGAAAAAACGCATTCACGCATACAAACACGAATTCCGATTTCCGGAAGCCTCCATCAACTATCCCTGAAAAAAAGCCTCCTCCAAACATTCACCATGTTCCCCAGCATCTTTTCCACCAATTCCACTAATAAAACAAGACGCATGTAAACAGTTGTCATAATTTATCGTGTGATAGGGAAACTCTGAGTACAGCAGCTCAAATAGCGGATATGGACACCCGTTGCTGCAAACCGCCTCCGTTACCGGAGAGTAATATCAATATCATACATGTATATGTATATTATATATATATGTATGTATGTATGTATGTATATCTATCTATCTATCTATCTATATGTACACACACATATATATATATCTATCTATATGTACACACACATATATATATATATATATCTATGAGATTGTATATCGAATATATACTATATATATATTATTATATTATACTATACTATATTATATTATATATTATATCATATTATATTATATTATATTATATTATATATACCGTGAATCAAATTCAGCAAGGAGAATCTCCAAAACTTTGCATGCGCTTCCCCTGCTGTCGGAGGTGCCATTTCTCCCAGCGCGACTTGGCTTTGTACTCGGTGGTCACGGCTCCAAGCCCCGCAGGTTGACGGGTCCACAGCATCAAGCGACACTGGCGCGGTGACTGGGGTGACTGGGGAGATCTGGGGTGGGAGATCATGGAGATCTGAAGATTACCCTCTGGTAAACATACAAAAAGCTATTGAAAATTGTCATTTAGAGTGAGTTTTCCCATTAAAAATGATGATTTTCCATAGCTATGTTAGTTTACCAGAGGGTAGATGGCTCAGATTCTCAGAAACATCCACAATTTTGGCAGATGGCAGTGATGGACCAACCAGGACGCAGCGACGCAGCGCCTTGTCAATGTCATTCTTGCAGTGAAACTCCACTGCCCAGCTGCCATCCTGGAGCTGCTGTTGATGTCCCTCTGGAGATGACAAGCATCAAAAAAAACATAATTATTGGATTGGTCTAAGCGAAAATCTACAGGAAACCCATGGTTTTTACCATTGAATATGGGGGTTTACTGCAAATGTTCCCTTAAACAAATCCAATCCCCATAAATATCACACATCCGCATCCAACATGTTCCCAAATCCTGAAAAATCTCCGCATCAAATCATTACACAACTCCTCTTGCAGTGTTTGGTGTCCTCTGGATCATGCATGGCATAGCCGCTGCTACGGAAGACAAAGTACCAGGTCTGATCCCTGCCAGTGGGTCAGGATGTTTTTTTCAACCCTGAAATTGCACATGTTGGCCATTCTTACCATCAGCATCAATCATTCTATGATGTCGTTCATCCTCAATCCATTGGGAAAATATGCTTTGATCTGATATGCAATCTACTTCAGCAGCCCAACTCGGTCTTCCCCAGAAGCATTTGTCAGAGTCTGAAAGAACAAGAGCCGGATTGTCGGAGATGTTATGACTGTTATGAAATTCCTCAGTCTTGAAATTCCACATTCCATCCTTCTTGTTGTTGTTGTTGTTCATCTTTAGTTTCCTATTTTTTGCACCTTCTTTCCGGTTTGGTTCTTGAAATCTCCCATCTTCATCCATCTTCGCCATTTGTCGCCGCCTCTGAAAGGTGGGTTTGATCCAGCACATGTAGGTAGAAGTCCTAGGGAACCAGTCCTGATATCCTTTGATCTCGATGCCTGTGTTCACCTGGGCACCGCTTCGGGTGGTGTTTTGTGGCTTGGGAATATGGGATACAAATGGATAGAATATAGACTTATGGATCTTATGTTGCCTTCACAACATGAAAACATATGAAAACCATCCCAACATTTGTGTCTAAGCCATGTCTAATATGTCTACAATTGTCTACATGAGAGTTGTCTTTTAAATGAGAATACCAACCAACATCCGCACAAACCGTGAAAGTAAAGTGAGGATGATAAACCTGTAGACATGGAGGGTGCCCATGGGCCAAGGTACTCCGGTGAGGTCTGCGGCTGTACCACCAGCTCGTGATAAGGCTGAAGCCTACTCCATTGGAACTGCCACAAAAAGCAAAAAAAACAAACAGCAACGACTTCCAGGCCTGAAATTTGCTAACTTCCAGGCCCTTGGGAATGATGTCGCTTTCATTGCCTGGTAGATCTTCAAAAACCCATGGCGCAAATCGATGTTTTTTTTTTCCACTGTAGTGGCGATAAACCAATGAAAGGGATCGAAAACGCGTCTTCAACTTCCACATTTACGGAGCTGATGGGCTCCACTTTGCTCATGAGAAGGGTTGCAACGATTCAAATGCACTGGACTCCTTTTGAAAACGCCTCGCCTGCTGTGTTGTTCCTGGAGTATCTCAGGGCAAGTTGCAAAATCAACTGAAGGATTGGAATCAAATCTGTCTATCTATCGTGGTTCTTGCACATGTTCCAAGTCATTCAAGTGCCTCCTCAAGCTGCAAATCCCTTCTATTTTTTTTCTTGCCACACTTAAATGCCACACCCGCGACCAAAAGCCTCTCGGGTGTGATCAGTCGACCCTCAACCAACATTGGTTTTCGATCGCTGGGTCAAAATTGGCCAGTCATTGAAACGACTGGCGCTTTGCCAATGCTTCACACGACCATCTCTTCGGGGTTGGAGGTCTTGGGCAAACCAGCCACGGGGCCACCGTTGATGATGGGGTTCTCGATCTGACACTGGTTGGTGCCACGCTCGATCTTGAAGTAACCATGGTCACCCCAGTCTTCATTCCAGCTGTTGGCCACCAACCAGTAAGGGGTTCCATTCTCAGTACCCCAGCCCATGATCTTAATGGCATGGCCTCCCAGCATGGGGTCCTTGAAGAATAGACCTGCCTTGTAGACACCGGACTTGTAGGAAAGGAAACCTGATTATGTGGTGTCAACCCATACCCCTCAAAATGCTAGCCAATTGCGGATAATCACCCCAAGTGGATCCAAATGGAACGGAAAAACGCATGTTTCAAACAAAACACTTTGAAACCACCAAGAAAAGAAACTTTGATGCACGAAGAACATGCCGGTGATTGGCCCATTCTGGTAAATTTCCTGCATCATGGCATCACTGCACTTGCTGTCACCCTGTTGGCACACGCTGTAGCCACCGCTGCCGTAATGCTTGCTGGATCGCCAGTTGGCCCCGTTGTCCACGCACTTGCGCGCGCACTTGGGGGTGGCCTCGCTACTAGTGCAGTTGGGGTACTTCGCTGAGGTGCTGTGATGGGCGCAAGGCTTCAACTGATAGGAATAGCACATGGATTTGTCACCATAATTGCCGCCATCCACAATTCCGAAGGTCTTGTAGTAGGTGTACACCTGGCGTTTGAGCCACTTTCTGAAAAACAATACGATCATGCCCCCTTTTCTGGGTGGAAAACTCGTTTTGGATCATAAACAAAATCCTCCTCCTCCTGCAGAAACAAGTAGAAGACTCATCTTACAGAGCCAGGCGCTGTTGAAGGGATGCCCCCATTGCAGCCCATGTCCCCCATGTTATCACAGGAAGTCACGTCTTCCGCGGAGAGGTGGATCTTCTTCTGCCCTTTGCTGGCAATGCAAATGCGGTCCGTCATGGCCTCCACTGATCCGAATGCCCAGCAAGATCCGCAATCTGCCTGGCGTGCCGGAAAACGCATGGCATCAAATGGCTAGATGACATAACCGAAGGAAGTTTAGAAGTCAAACTTTCGATGGCATAGACAGATGGAAAAGCAGACATGGGAAGAGAAGAGAAGAGAAGAGAAGAGACGGGACGGGACGGGAAGGGAAGGGAAGAGAAAAGAAGGGAAGGTAAGAGAAAAGAAGGGAAGGGAAGAGAAAAGAAGGGAAGGGAAGGGAAGGGAAGGGAAGGGAAGGGAAGGTAAGGTAAGAGAAAGGAAGGGAAGGGAAGGGAAGGGAAGGGGAAGAGAAGGGGAAGAGGAAGGGGAAGAGGAAGGGGAAGAGGAAGGGGAAGAGGAAGGGGAAGAGGAAGGGGAAGAGGAAGGGGAAGAGGAAGGGGAAGAGGAAGCGGAAGAGGAAGCGGAAGAGGAAGCGGAAGAGGAAAGGGAAGAGGAAGCGGAAGAGGAAGAGGTAGAGGAAGAGGTAGAGGAAGAAGAAGAGGAAGAGGAAGAGGAAGAGAAGAGAAGAGAAGAAGAAAGCAGATCCAGGTGCGCGAAAAGGTGGGAAAATCGCGTTTCACTGTGTTTTGCTAATGATTTGTGGCTCCGGAGGGTCGAAAAGTAGGCTCGCTAAAGCGGCGGGTGCGGGGCCATGTGGCCAAATGAGAGATGAAAAGTTGCACGCCATTGTGGCGCGAAGCAAATTTCGAAATCAACATGTGCAAAACACATCAGGTTCGGACCGCTTTTGGAAGTTGATATGTTGAAAAAGCGCACGCCGTTGTGGCGCGAAGCACATTTCGAAGTCAAAAGTGTTAAAAACGGTCTCGGTGGCCTTTTGGACGTTCAGATGTCGTTTCGCGTGGCAGGCGCAAGGGACTCTGCACCTTGCCAAAAGTGAGTGCAACGTGAGGGTTTTGTCGCCGTTTCAACTACAACCGCTACACTACACTCCACTCCACTACACTACAACTACAAGCGCGCTTACAATTACAACTACATTACGCTACACTAAATACAACTACAACTACAACTGCAACTACACTACATTACACTACACTATTTGCATTACACTACGCTACACCACAATCCGCTACACTACACTACACTGCACTGCACTACGCTACACTCAATTACACTACACTACCCTAACTACAACTACAGCTACATCTACACTGCACTACATTAATTACATTACACTACACTGCGCTACACCACACTACACCACACCACACCACACTACACTAACTACAACTACAGCTACAACTGCAACTACGCTACTTTACACTGCACTACACTAGACTACACTACACTACCCTACATTACATTACGCTACACACATTACACCACCACAAATGCAACTGCAACTGCACTACACTGATTACACTACACCACAACTACAACTCCACTACGCTACAACTACAACTACAGCTGCACTACACCACACTACATCCAGCAGTTGTGGGTGAGGTGACCGACCAGGTGACCACAGCAATCATTCTAGCCACTCCCAAAAACGCGACTCCAACCACCTTTCAGATCTCTCCTATAGGTTTCCTATTCTGAAACTTCCGCCACAGACTTGTGCAGTACTACTGGAATATGAGGTGCAATGCCGCGTATATGTAACATATTCAAAAGTTGGGGAAGGTCATGTAACGTTTTGTCCTTGTGTATTGTGTTGTGTGCTTGTACATTGAAAGCAAACAAACATAATCAAAACATATATGTATTGTAGGTGGTATCCGTATATTATATATATATGTATAATATATATATATACATATTGGCTTTTGAACCTAGGATTACGCACAGACCCCGTGGTTTGCCCGGACTGCAACATTGATGATTCCCTGTCGTCAAAGAGAAATTGCAGAAAATACTGCGTACAGTATACGCAGTGTTTTCTGCTTTCGGATGCAGAGTTTTCAGGGTTTTAGGGTTTAGGGCTTTAGGGTTTTAGGGTTTTAGGGTTTTAGGGTTCAGGGTTCGTCGTCTGGTAAATACCAAAACACTGGCGCTGCGCAGGCTTTTGAGCATGTCGACGGATAATATTTGAACTCCATTCTAACCTTGCGGGCAAACCATAGGATCTTGCCGTAAGATTAGATAGTACGTATTGTGCATTGTGTATGGCAGCTATGGCACATCCAATTTGAGTATTGTGTATGCTAACGGTATACGGATGTATACAGTATTGCATGGGGTATTTGGAAATTGTATATTACATTTGTATACTGTATGTTGTATATTGTATATTGTATTTTGGAAAATCGTATATTGTAAATCGTATATTGTATTTGGTGGTTTGTTTTTTGTGGATGCTTGTGGTATATTGTGCATGGCTGTATATGGAGTGTATTATACATAGTGTCAAAGGAAAAATAGTTGAGAAACTTTTGAGTTACGGACGAATGTCTGTGGGCAGCTGTCAGCCCACCAATTGAACCACACGGGCAGCATCAGCAGTTGGCAAGTTAACACCTCAACGCAGAAGGTATTGAAGGTGCGTGCGCGTGTGTGTTCACATGAGATTGCCGGTGAGCAGGAGCAGTAGCGCCGAAAAAACCCAGAATAAAACTCCATTGCTTTCCGTAAGTTTACCGTTTACTGTTCAATCAGATTGAATCAACACAAAGACTGATTGATACATATAGGTATTTTCAAGAATTTGGTACCCGAAATCTCCTTGGTATGTCACAATTTTCCCCTTTTCCCCAACGTCTTGCCGATTCTTGGGCATCCCTCGATTCTGAGACAAACATGTACAAAAGTGATCAAACATGTACAGCATGTAAAGATCATGAAAGATCCCGTTTCACCAAAAAATTCCCTACATAAATGCGTTTGTCCGTAAATAGTATAATTATGGATAATTAACACGAAATCCACATGCATGAATCATTTGTGTAAAAACCGTCTGTCTGTAGAAACAGCTGTGCATACTTTTTTTTGTGGGTAAATGCTTCTGTACGAAAAAGTTTCTGCTGTGTAAAAACTGTTCTGGGTAAAGTTTCTGCGTGCAAAAAAGTCGGTCTGTCCAAACTTCTGTGTGCAGTCTGTGTGTACAAGTTTCTTTGTGTCAAATGTTTTTTTGTAGAAAAAACATGTGTAAAAACCGTTCTGTGCAAAAGCTTCTCTGTGGAAAAGGTGTGTAAAAACGCCTATGTGCCTTTATTTATGCGCGCAAAAGCATCTTTGTACACAGCATCTGTGTGTAAAATTGTGTAAATACTTCCTTCTTTGCGTAAAAACCTCTGTGTGTAAAGGCGTTTGTGCACAAAAGTTTTTTGTGCAGAAACCTCTCTGTGTAAGAATATCTGCGCATAAAAGCTGCTTTGTGTAAAGGCTTCTGTGCGTAACGTCGTCTGTTTGTAGAAACGTATCGGTGCAAAATGCATCACCACAGCCAAAGCGCAAAAATGAAATGAAACAAAAGAATCCAAGATCAAATGCTTGATGTCGTTGCCGTTGTTAATGATGGCGATGATGCGTGCAGGGCCCCACAAGGCGTCATCTTGGCTGTCTTAAGTCATTTTTTGAAACCCTTCGGAACAAATTACTTTCTTCGAGTGATCCCCACCAAGTGACACTTTTTTTTGACATAGTTTCTGACATGCTATCTGGCGTTCGCATTTTATCTCATATATTTTCTGCAATTCTTTCTAGTATACTATCTGGTATATCTTCGGAGATTCTTTGTGGTTGAGGTCCGGCGGGCAACACTCTGATCATATTGTAGTATGGGATATCATGTGGAATTATCCCATGATATTTCATATTCCATATTATATTCCATATAATCTTATACCATATATGGAATACCCTCTGGTAAACGTTTACATAACTATGGAAAATCACAATTTTCAATGGGAAAATCCACTATTTCGACTGGGTCATTTTCAATAGCTATGTTAAATTACCAGAGGGTATATGATACTTATTGATATTTAATAGGTACATCATCTATAAATGGGTCATTTTCCATAGCTATGTAACAAATAACCAAATAACCAGAGGGTATCCCCATCATATCTCAAATGAGCCATGGTCAATACTCACTATATGGTTGATGGTCATCCCATCCATAATAAGGATCCAAAAATAATGGTTATTATAAATCCCATCCTGAACCATTGGATGACTAGCCCCTATTAATGGTTATTAACCATGAGTATTGACCACAGCTCAAATGTTGTTGTTGTTGCAGCTCCACCTGGTCACGGATCTCCTTGAGGCTGGGGCAGTTCTTGGCCCGCGCATCGCTGCGCCAATCGAACTCCTCTGGCAGATCCACCACCTGGAGTGATCAACGGATCTTCACCCATTTTTTTTTGGGAAATTATTGGAAAACTACCATTTTTTTGGGGAAATGACTGGACAACTACCATTTTTTTTGGGAAATTATTGGAAAACTACAATTTTTTTGGGGAAATTACTGGACAACTACCCTTTTTTTTTGGGAAATTATCGGAAAACTACAATTTTTTCGGGGAAATGACTGGACAACTACCATTTTTTTTTGGGAAATTATTGGAAAACTACCATTTTTTTGGGGAAATTACTGGACAACTACCATTTTTTTTTTGGGAAATTATCGGAAAACTACCATTTTTTCGGGGAAATGACTGGACAACTACCATTTTTTTTTGGGAAATTATTGGAAAACAACAATTTTTTTGGGGAAATTACTGGACAACTACCATTTTATTTGGGGAAATTATCGGAAAACTACCATTTTTTCGGGGAAATGACTGGACAACTACAATTTTTTTTTGGGAAATTATCGGAAAACTACCATTTTTTTGGGGAAATGACTGGACAACTACCATTTTTTTTTTGGAAATTATCGGAAAACTACCACTTTTTTGGGGAAATTACTGGACAACTACCATTTTTTTTTGGGAAATTGTCGGAAAACTACCATTTTTTCGGGGAAATGGCTGGACAACTACCTTTTTTTTTGGGAAATTATTGGAAAACTACCATTTTTTCGGGGAAATGACTGGACAACTACCATTTTTTTTTGGGAAATTATCGGAAAACTACAATTTTTTCGGGGAAATGACTGGACAACTACCATTTTTTTTGGGAAATTATTGGAAAACTACCATTTTTTTGGGGAAATTACTGGACAACTACCCTTTTTTTTTGGGAAAGTATCGGAAAACTACCATTTTTTTGGGAAATTAGAAAACTACAATTTTTTTAAAAAATTATTGGAAAACTACCATTTTTTTTTGGAAATTATTGGAAAACTACCATTTTTTGGGGGAAATTATCGGAAAACTACCATTTTTTTTGGGGAAATTATTGGAAAACTACAATTTTTTTTGGAAATTATTGGAAAACTACAATTTTTTTTTGGAAATTATTGGAAAACTACCTTTTTTTTTGGGAAATTATTGGAAAACTCACCTGAAATAGGGCGAATTTGGGGGGAAAAACACACGAAACTTCAGCAATTTAAGTGTGTTTTCTCTGAATGGGGTTTGATAGGAAATGGGAGCCAAAACATCCGAGGAGCATGAACATACGGGTGTTTAAGGGTGGTTCAATTGTGGTTCCTGGGGTGATGATGAAAGTTTGGGAGTTTGGAGTTCCAAAGTTGGAGACAAGGAATTAGATGTGCCTAGATCTGGATAATAGGAATTGCTGAAAACAATCGGCACACTTTCAATATATCAGTGTTTCTCTTAATGAGTGTTTCTTTCTAAATAAAACAGAGACATAGTACATCATCATATATCATATGTATGATATATTATATATATATAACATAATACAAATAATAAATTTGGTCATGATTTCGACATCTTCAGATTTCCTTCTTCATCCCCACCTTGTCCAATGGCTTGTAAGGCAGGCGGGTCAAATTGCTCACGTCCTGAAGGGTTCCCATCAAGATCTTCGCCTCAGCCAACGAGGCGCCCGCGAAGCGCAGGTTCTCTCCCGCCACCCAGGTCTTCTCAGATGCGGAGTTCACGGCGTCGATCAACTCCTGGCTGGAAAAAATGGGATGTGAAACAGGTGGGAAAAAATTATGTAACTATATTTCTATCAGTCTATCTATCTATCCATCCATGCATCCTATCTAATCCAATCTAATCTATCATTACTATTATTATTGTTATTATATATATATACACATGTATATAGTAAGTAAGCCCCAAAGTATAGTATGGTACATAGAACAGTTGTAAGCATTGTAAATCTGGAAAACATGAAGTAAATTGCACCTGTAACATGCTGGAAATACTGTTTTATCTTTTTTTTTCGGTGCCTATTTTAAAAAGGTTTGTCTAAAAACTATGGGCTAAATTTCCAACATGTTTGACGGTTTATCATCATGACTATTTGGGCCTCGTCCCTGTTGTGTAAATCTTCTTTGGAGAGGTACCAATTCTGATGATGAATAATCAGGAGTAATTCTGAAAAAACAAAATCATGAAGTAATTATCACTGATACATACTGATACCGACTTTCCCATAATGTCAACCCCGGATTTTGCTAAACCATGGTTTATCAATATAAACCAGGGGTAGAAACCCCCAATAGTCATGATTTCATATGATTTTTAAATATTTTTGATGGTACCTTCCCGTTGACATTATGCCATTGCCATTGCCATTGCGGGATACTCCTGTGAGGTGGCTTTCTGCTTCAATGCTTCCTGGTCCATCAGCTCTCCATGGCTTTCCCAAGATGCGAAGGCTGCGGCACCGGTCGCAGCGGTCGCGGCCGCGGCAAGGAGGCGCAGAGCCATGGCGAAAGCGGCGGCGAGTTGCGAGGCGGGCAACGAGGCGTTTCGGGCACGAAGCAAAGGCCTTGCAGTTGAGCCAAGGTTTTCGCCAATTTTCGTGAAACCAAATGTCAATCACTTTTTCACAATCTCTGTTTTCAAAGATAGAATGACATATCATGATATGTAAACTACGTATGTATGCACTAATATAATCTATAGATTACATAGCATGTAATGCTTATTTAATTAATTAGTTATGTTACCCTCTGGTAAACTAACATAACTAGTGTTTTCTTTAAACCAAAATCACAATGTTGAATGGGTAAATCAACTATAAATGGCTATTTTCCATAGCTATGTTAAATTACCAGCTCAGGCAACTCGTCCTTTCGAAGGTCAGGCGCAGGGTGGGAGTTCCCGCGCGCCGCGGCCGCGGGATTCGGCACGCCACGTCCTAAAATTTGGCCCGGACCGTTTTCGGAACGCCGTTCAAACCAAGAAACGTTGCGAAAGATGAGGTTGAGATTCATGGGATTTCATGAGAGTTATCCATGTTTCATGGGCTATTCATGGGATTTCATGGGATTTTATCAAAACTCTGATATTTGGGTGTGTCTGAAAATGGCAAAGAATTCCATCAATTCCCCATTTCTAGGCATTTTAATGGGGAACATTCCGGGAAAATCATTAACACCCAATGGATTTGGGGTGTTCCAATAAGACAAACCCAGATGTCATGGAAACGCATGATAGAACGTGCAAGATTTTTTCAACACTCAGATGATCAACAGGTCATGGAAGCAGATTTTTACATCTCTTCAAAACACAGATTTTTCTCACTGAAATTGAACACAATAAATCCATCCGCAAAGTCCATCATTTCAACATTTTGAAACACCAAAAACCCACCGAGCATCTGTATCGTTGGCGCACAAATCCCGCATGGCCCGAATGGCTCCAGCACAGCAACGCTCACCTCTGACGTACCGTAACTGTGAGGGAAGAGTCGAGTTACGACTGGGACATATGTTAAAAGGCCCGTGATCAATCCACCATCACTGGGATTCCTTATGGATTCCTTATGTAATCTATGTAATCTATCATGGATATACTATGGATATACTATGGATATACTATGGATATACTTAATGAAGCCCGTTTGGAAAATTTGGATTGATGACCATCCCAAAAGTTGCATGGCTGGCAAAAGTTGCATGGTTGGATTTCTATGCCTATCTAATCCAACTAACAGCTGATGCCGTCCGGGCGGAAGAGAACCCAGCTGGAAGAATTTTGAAGATCACCAACTTCCAACTTGGAAGTGCAGGTCCAGTGAAGTGCAAATGATCTCAATGATCTAAACGGAGACATAATATAGTCGCAGTTGTAGAGGCTCCAATATGGCAGTGTGTCAAAACCCTATCCCCCTGGTGAACATCAAAATAGCTGGTAAATGGATGTTCATCCCCCTAAAAATGGTATTAATTAATAGGTATTGATCCATACCCATATAGCCGCAGTTGTAGAGGCTCCATATCGCAACAAACCCCTGAGGATGGAACGGCCCCCAGGACGCCAAGAGCATTTGTCACCGCCGCAAACGCCACACTCAGAGCTGCAACACACGTCCTGAAACAAGTTTCTCGCTGGGAATTGTCTGGACGTTTTTGAAACCCCAACAAAACGGAGGATCCATCAGGATCCATCTCTTTTCTTAAGACACACAGCAGTACTGCCCTGCTGACCTGGCATCATGCCCGGCTGGTGATTTTGAACGGTCACCACCAGCTGTCCTGAAACGGTAATCCCTTTCGGCAATAAACCACCTGGTCGCGGAATGCGCGGAAGGCCCAACAGGTCCCATTGAAAAACATGGCGTGGTCCGATTAATATACGTATATTATTATATTATATTATATGATGTTATGTTATATGATATTATATTATATTATATTACATTATATTATATTATATTATATTATACAATATCATGTTTTATTACATTATATTATCTTATATCATATTATCTTGTATGCCTTACATTATATTATATATTATATCATATTACATTATATTATACTGTATAATAATAATACATTACACATTATATATTAATATACGGGTTTTTAAGTTGATAGCTACCCCAAAAACCTGGTTGTCCTTCACGTAGCAGTCCCGGTCGTCGTCCAAAGCTTTGGTTGGAATCCATATGTTGCCTTAGTGGGTCGGTGATTGGAGGGACGACTTTAGCAAACAAGGCTTTTGTTCACAGTAAAATTCTGTCAACAAGCTTCCAGATTTTACAGTTTTACATGGTTTTACGACATTTTCCATCGGGAAAAACTTGTTTACCAACAGCCGGAAAAAAAACATAGAGGAATGTACCCTCTGGTAATTTAACATAGCTATTGAAAATGACCATTTTTTATAGTGGATTTTCCCATGAATCATGGTGATTTTCCAGTTCGCTATGTTAGTCATAACCAGAGGGTAAATGGGTTTGTCTGAAAATGGGATATACAAACCCATGGCCATCTGAACTTCGGGGACCTCACATGACCTCACTGCCCGAGTTTCCGGAGTTTCCGGCAGGCCGAGCTGTCACGAGTTGTCACGGCCAGGGAGGTGGGATTTTTTTTAAATGGGAAATCAACCATATATTCCCAAGTTATATCCAAAGTTATATCCAAAAACTATATCCAAAAGTTACATCATGAAAAATGATATCCCAAGTTATATCAAAAAAAAACATTAATCATGGGAAAATTTTAAATTCGGATGTTTTTTTCTGGAAGTTTCAATGGGGACATTTTTTGACATTTTCGGATAGCTGGATAGCCTGCAAACTATGCCCAACCATGGTGCTATGAAAAATGCATCGCCCAGCATGTTCGCCGCTGTAAACCACCTGGTGGCCGACGGAGGGTTTTGCACCAAGCACGTCTCAATTTCAAAGCACATGAGATCTCTCAAACATGTGCGAACATATATTATAATAACATATATTATAATATATATATATTTATCACATATATTTCATTATATTGCATATTACAGTATATTATATATTACATATTGTCACATATTGTCTACATGACTGGAACATACTGGAACATACGACGTTTTGTGACCCTGCCTCAAATGCAGCGCAGTCCATGCGACTACTGCACAGTGCTCGACAAAAGAGCTCCGGGAGGGTGAAGTTCTCATTGAGATCTTCCAATTCATAGCCTCCAAAACCAGTCCATTGAGGATGATCCCGGATGGATATTTTTTATGACTGATCTGAAAAAGCAACCAACGAAAAAGCTTTAAGTGGAGTTTTAATACATATATAATATACATATGTATATATATATATGTATATATATATATATATATGTATATAAATATATATTTGAATGTTTCAAGTTGTGACCCCAGAGCGGAAAGCGCCTCCACAACTCTTCCCAGGAAAGGGCATGTAATCCGTGAAGGGCGACCTCAGCGGGGCCCTCCGTGAAGGCCGAACTTCTCGTCGGCCATTCTCCGATGAAAAAGTGACCATAAAATGGGGGGTATACCCTCTGGTAAACTAACGTAACTATGGAAAATCACCATCTTTAATGGTTAAATCCACTATAAATGGCCATTTTCAATAGCTATGTTAAATTACCAGAGGGTACATAATTTCCACTATGGTAAAATATGGTAACATATGGTAAACTATGGTAAAACTATGGTAAAACTATGGTAAAACATGGTAACATATTGTAAACACTATATCATACTATGTTGATATATGTAAAACATATATCATAAAATTAGGGCGAAGTCCAACCACAAACAACTATCATTTCCCAGCTCAGTGACTTGTAGCCGTCAAAAGCTGCACGGTAGAAGCCAACACCTGCACGGTGCAAGGTTCCCACAACCTTCAGAAGAGCCAAACTATAACTAGACTTGAAATAAATAGAACGCGTATTCGGGGCTGCTACAAAATGCTGTATATATATATTATATGATATAATTATTATATATGATATAATTATTATATATGATATAATTATATAAAATTATACATATATATGATCTTTACCTCAGAATTTCCGGGAATCCATCTGTTCTATCTGTTCTTGGGGAAACTTTTTTTTTCCGTAGAAACCTGCACTTTCGCCTGAAGGTCTTGTGTATCTTCTGATATCTTTTTTTTCTTTTGTGGGGGGCCGAAAAAAGGATTTGCATCCCAAAACCGTTTCTGATGAACAGTTGCCACATGGTTTATTTCATTACTATCCCATCATTTACGTTCATTTACACGGTTTCATACTCACCAATAGTTACCAACTGGTGCGGGATTTTGCCCATCCACAGTTACCTTTAGGATATGAAATACTCCTATTTTTTTGACATGAAGAAAAGCGAAAATAAACTCCGGAACCTGGCCTGGATGCATGAGAAAACCTGCAGGATTTCTCAAGACCTCCATCACCTCCACCTCTCCACTGAAAAAACTCTGCGAAATTCCAGAAATCTGCTGGGATTTTCCAGCATTTTCATGGATGTTTCCATGATTTTCCAAGTAATACATGAAATTTCACGTGGATTTTCTGTTGAATCATGTGGTAACCCAATCATCCACCATTTGGGGGGTGGAATCCCCACGAAAATGCTGATGACTTGGGCCCCGTAGTTCAAGCCCCACCTTGGGCCCCGTAGTTCTGCAAGATTTCGATCTTCAAAAATCTCCCCGTCAGCGGCACGTCCAACGTCATCTCCGTCACGGGATGTGGCGAACTGGGCACCTTGCCTCTCATGCTCAGGTCTGCCTCAGGCCAAGGGAAAGATGATGGAAGTGAAGCCCAAATTATGGCTAAAGCCTGGCATATGTAATATGCATATCTCTATAGATTATATCATATATAATATACAGTATGCTATGTCTATATGTATATATGTATATATGTGTATATATATATGTATATATACATATATATGTGTATATACATATATGTATATATAATATGAATACATGATAATACATGTGTATATATATATATGAATATGAGGATAAACCATGTTAAGCCATTGGATTTGGAGACAACTTCAACTACTTGGAACAATTGCCGAGCTTTTGGGTCTCCTCATTGTGCTCTCCTTGCTGGTTAAAAAAAATCACATGGTAGGTCTATGGCATAGGGTGCATCCCACTTTAACCCATAGAAATTATATCCCCATGATATTCCCATTGTCCCATTCAATCCCCATGTTTTGAATGGTACAATCACCATTCACCAGAATTCACCATTCAGAATTGCCATGCTGACCACTATCAGCTACCATCTGATGGGGTTTCCAACCAGGAACTGGAGGTTTTGGCGCGTCCACATTGGAGATGTCGTGGAAAACTTGAGCCTTGGTACCATGCCATGCTGGCACTGAACCTGGGAACCTGGGCGATTTTGGAGATCATCCTGGATATTTATCATATTTTAGGATTCTGAATAAGCAATGCAAACGATTTGAAAACTGGAGTGAACATGTCATTTAAGAAATTTAAGCATGAAAGATCATGAAAGGGGGATATTATCCTGGATATCAATAATCGGTATTTCTCAAACATGTTCAAGCCAAGGGAGTCACCGATTTTTAAGAATTTTGGCTCATTCGTAATATCAATCTGTCTCAACCATCCATTTTTTCGAGGGTAACCTCCATTGGATATACCCCCAATTTATAGTAATTCATGGGCTATACCACCATTGATGGGGTATACATATACCACCATTTACCAGCTACATACGATATATATATATATATGGCTATACCATGCTATGCCTCCATTTGTGGCCATTACAATGATTACAAACCAACAAAAATGAGGGACCGCCGTCCCGGAGCCACCTCTCCATCTCGTGCGTGCGTTTCGAGCGGCTTCGAGCAGGCTGTCCAAGTCTTTGCCGGCGCTGACCAGAATCTTCCGGACCGCTTCGTCGCTGGCATAGTTCCACAATCCTGGCGTCGATTGTGAAAAAGGCTGGCATGGTCTGGAGGCCTGGAGGTTTGGGCAAATGTTTAATGGAAAATGGATGGTAAATGGATGGTAAATGGATGGTGGCCATAGTTTTTCGGGACCATAATTTGAATTGATGGGAGATAGAACCATGGTCAAACATCTCTTTAATTCACGACCCAACCCACACGAAGCAAAAGGCCCATATAGCCAAGACACGAAGCTTGGTCACGGTAAACCTCTCTTCAAAATCGAAGATGAGCCAGGCATTCCTCATTGCTTGGGAAATCCCTCAAAAAATAATTGGCATTTTGAAAGAGTGCATGACTTGGCGCCCTCCGATTCTTCACCAACCAATCACCACCCCCAGCGTTTTTCCAAGTTGCGAACAGAGGACCACATTGTCGTTGGTCTCGCAGGCCTGGCTCACCGGATGATCCTTTTATGGCAAAAACTCTCAACGTTGAAACTCGTTTTCTCATGTTTTGTCGAAAAACAATGGCGCCAAAAAAATGGATGCCGTTTTTTGTTGAAAGACACTGCCCCCCTAAATGGCAATGTAGACAAATATAAGTTCTCAACCGCTTGAGAGGGAAATAATATATGATATTACTAATTACATGATCAGACATGCACGATGGACAATTTTTCTGGTGAGGAAATATTGCAAACTACTGCCATAAAAATATTCTTTTATAAAATTTATATCCTTTTATGTTAAGAAGTTCTCAAAAACAAACGGTCCTAAGAATGTCTCCACTAGCTCTGGCTCTGCCCTTGTGCGATATCTGGAAGTCCCGGCTGCTCCCCAAGTACTACCCTTGTGACCATGTGGCCTAGAAAACCAAAATCAACTTAGTATGAAAAAATCCAGGTACGGAATGTTTCCCGCTGCTGAGTTATTTTGCTGGTCAAGACGCTGATCCACCTTAGAAATTTGGGTCCCCAACCCACATGCTTTCAAGGAGGGGAAACAGTTGAAATGCTGCTGAAATACTAGAAAAAATGGGAGTTGAAGCAGGACAGATTACAAATGGTTAGGACTTGTCGAAAAAAACAATGTACATATATGGAAATATTCGTAAAAAGAATTCAAGTGTTTGGATATCCCTGAAACAATAGCCGGCTTCCCAGCAAGACAAATAAGACATAAGAAGACCATCATGCTGGACATTCGTGATTCCCAGTCATGTTTTTTTGGAAAACCCATGGTTTGGTCCCAAAAAAACATACATCTTTCACCCAGCATTTTTCCCAACAAAAAACCAGCCTTACTAATATAGAAACTATCGTCTGGCCGCACATCCAGTGGCAAGATGGTCGAGTAGGGGCTATGCCTCGGACCATGCGGAGACAAAAAGTGGCAGTCCAACAGTACAACCAATCTAAAATACGCAAAATCATGCGAACTCAGCCAACAAAAAGTGTGTTTTTTTTTTGCTTTTGTTCCTCTCTCTCTCTCTATATTGTATACAGTATACAACAGTATATGTTGTATAATTCTATATATATATAGTTATATAATATAGCCATATATAATCTATATAGCTAAATGGAGTACAACTGGCGTTGACGAGTTGGATATGTTCATCCAGCTTCCAGGTGTCGCAGTGCCTGCCCTGCCGAATTTTCCGAGCAACCGATGAGCATTGTGGCAATCCAGCGGAGCCTTATCATCACCTTGGAAAGGAGGTGTTGGAGTGGAAAAAACTCATCGCTGGCATCAAAAACCCTCAGATTCTACGGATGATTCTGATTGTAGGTCAATAATAATGGTCAATAGGTCCGAAAAATCCAGGGGATTTTTCAGTTGCTCAAAAATTGCTCAATCCATCACCTGCCTTGCCTTGACTAGGATGCCTAGTGTCTAGACAGTCTAGACCTGACTTTAGTTGGATCATGTTTAGTCGACGATCCATGCCGCCTGGTTTGGGATCCAGCACAGAGCCACAAAACCAACCATGTGGTATACCAGCCAGTGAATAGTTGAAGGGAAAAAAATGCGGCCAACTTATTTCAGTTATATTCGGGTTTATCTGAAAGCGGGGTGCACCGAAAATCCAATCACTAGTAATCAGGCTCCTTGTAAAATGGACATATATTCAGGTAAATCCCTCATTTTCAGACCCAACTAATCCAACTATCACATTCTCTTGGTCGTACATCCCATAAAATCTCCCCATCAAATCCCATGACATACCCATATTGTTGGTGATGTATGGTTTTTTGTCACATTCTATTCCCAAAATCATCGATGTGCCGATCTTGATCCATTTGATCCATTTGCTTTGCCCAATTTTGCCCATAGAAAACAATCAAAACATACTGTAGTTAGAAAAAACGATCCAATGAAATCATATGAAATCCCCATAAAATCCATAAATCCCCCATGTTTTGTGGCTTACCCTGGCTGGTTACCGAATGTTCCTCAGCTCCAAGGCAACAAACCCTCGATCATCCCAACGAGGTGTGCAGGTAAAAATCATCCGTGGCTGGGGGATTCCCAGAGGTTACCTGTCTGGGCAAATGTTGGAGATAATTATCCTGCTTATCAAATAATGGCAAATTAGTAAGAGGAATTATCCCAATAATTATTATAATTCACTAAATGTTGGATGGACCATATTGGGATAATTCATGATAATTCCTCTTACTAATTCCTCTTACTCACCATTATTCCAGGGTTCGGGAGAACAGGCTTCGCTCGTCATAATTCAGACTTATGAATCATCAAATCTTGGGTGTGCCATATCTTCAGACAATCAACAAATTGACAGCTTGTTAAAAAATTGGATACCCCCCCAAAAAAAACAGGTTACCCTCTGGTAAACGTTTACATAGCGAACTGGAAAATCACCATTTTATCCATTATTCATGGGAAAACTCACTATTTCGATTGGGCCATTTTCAATAGCTTTTTGTATGTTTACCAGGCCGGGTAAACCATGTTAAACCAATGTCCAACCCATCCACTGGTCATATGGCAAAAGAATGGTCCAAATGATGACCGGATTTCCTCCCAATTCTCAGGAAATTATCCGATGATTTCCAATTGACACACACTGGAACCCCCATCAACTATATATATATATATCCATATATGATATTGGTATTTATATTGGTTATACAACCATGATATTCAATAACCATATATCATATATCATATATATTGCTGCGTATATCATGTTGTTTGGTTATTCAACACCAATGATAATCCCATCTATTAATTATTGGGTTTAACTCATACCGTTCAACCGTTTAACCATGTTCTACCCTCTGGTAAACTAACGTAACTATGGAAAATCACCATGTTTAATGGGTAAATCCATGTAAATCCACTAAGGACTATAAATGGGCCATTTTCAATAGCTATGTTTGACATCACCAGAGGATGTATCCCATTAATATCCCATTAAATCACTATAAAATCCCATTAATCCACTATAAAATGCCATTAAATCACTATGTTAGTTTACCAGAGGGTAAAACCCAATGGTTCAAACCCATCCATTGGCTGGTCAAGCGTCAGCCCCTGCTGAAGTAACCCCTGCAGTCTGAGCCATCGATGGGGCAGCCAGCACGGGCCTGGCGCCGAACATGGGCGTTTTAGTCACCCCATCAATATATATATATATGATTATATATGTATGCATGTATATATGTATATATGTATATAATATACATATACAATCATACATATATATGTACATATATATATATATGATATGTATTATGTATATATGAACAATTGTGTATGGGATGGGATGGGGAGATGGGATGTGATGTAAGATGTGGGATGTGGAATCGAATGTCATTTCTGTGTATGTTGATGTGGAACAAACCAGCACTTCCACCAGGCCGCCACTGCCTGGATGGCTTCCGAGGTCCAAATGGCTTTCACCATTTTGCTGTAGCCATGGAAGTTGGCCTCCGCCACGCTCCAGCTGCCAATGACCGTCTCCTCCTCCTCATGCCTAACCAGGAAGCGGGTGGGACCTCAAAGACCAGGAAATGGAGTTTCAAGATGGTTTAAGATGGTTTTAAGATGATTTTCAGATGGTTTAGGATGGTTTAACTACCGGGTAGAACAAATCAGCCTCGCCTTGTTGCGGCGTCGTACAATGGCAGGTTGACGTCTGGAGTGTAGCAAGTACCTTTGACGTCGTGACATCTGGACGAATTAAGATTTCACAGGATTTCACGTGTGATGATCGTGCCACAAAGGTGCAACATGGTTCAATTATGCTCAAATAGATGATGCAAATAGAAGATGCAAAATACCCTCTGGTAATTTAACATAGCTATGGAAAATGGCAATTTATAGTGAGTTTTCCCATTAAAAATGGTGATTTTCCATAGTTTTGTTAGTTTACCAGAGGGTAAATCCACATGATTCACTATAACATAGAACAACAAGAAAGCACAACTAGGCTCTGATCCGAGTGGCAAAAGTCTTTGCTTCCTTTGTGTAAGCCAGCAGCCCTTACCAGATTGTCCTGGATGCAAAACTTCCTGCAGCCTGGCGCAAGTTGCCAGCTGGCTTGATGTGTGGCTCTAATGGCTCTAAATCCAGTGCTTCATCATCATTTTCCAATCATTTTCCCAGATTTTCTTGCCATTTGGGTGATACCCTCTGGTAATGACTAACATAGCAATGGAAAATCACCATAGAAATAGTGGATTTTCCCATGAAAAAATGTGATTTTCCATAGTTATGTTAGTTTACCAGAGGGTATTTTCCATCTATTTTCAGACACACCCATACTGTAAATCATCATTGGTTCACCTAACATCCTGGCGAAATCCTCACTCTGGACGATGCGTATTGAAACAAGGTCACCCCATGACTATGGCGTGTTGTTTTGGTTACTAAACTACGCCCTCTTATATATATATATACATACATACTATCATAAACTATTTGAACATAATTCCAAGACTTGGTTTGGTTGGCGATATCATCTCAAGGACTCTCAGTTTGATGAAACCATGAACTCTGCAAAGACAAATGCATGGTTTAGCTGGATCCTTGCACTCCGACAAACAGAGCAGAAAAATATCACTGTTAGCAGTGGGTATCCCCCAGGGGTTACAATCATCCACGATAAACCAGCTGGTTTTTCAGCACCTATTGAACAGTGGTTAATATGTAATCAACAATGCATGTGAAATATTGACCCCTAAAACCCAAATGTTGGTGGTTAAAACTGTTAAATAGCTGTTAAAGCTCCTATAACTTACATGATGGTAAAATCCCCTGTTGGTACTGCTTAACTCACCATATTTGCATATATTTGCTGGGTCTCTTTATCATGGCTCTAACGCTGCTCAGCTGGTTTGGTCTAAACATCCCCATTAACTCACCATCTGAGCCATCCCCATCCCCGCCTCCAAGTTTTCCCGAGATGCTGTGAGGCACTGTGGCACGCCGGAGCTTCTTTTCCCCCAAGGGCCCTGCAGGGGCCATACCATGCGCCTGCCGAAGGCACCCACCGGGACCCTGGGATTTCACCAAGAGTGGTGCCCACTAAAGCGAGAAACATGGAGGAGTTGATTCGATTTGATCTACAAGCGGACGCCCTTACTAATGTTGCGGAAGAGGAGGTGGAGGAGGAGGATGTTGCAGAAAATGAGGTGGAGGATGATGATTTTGAGGATGATGATGTCAAGGGGGAGGACGAGGATGATGCTGAGAATGATGATGTGGAGGAGGAAGATGATGATACTGAGGAGGAGGAGGAGCAGGAGGAGGAGGACCGATCACAAGACCCCCGAGTGTGTACACACTGTGTGGGAAACTCACGTTGCTCCAGGAATTGTTAGGGGGCAAATGGATATAACTTGATATAACTAATGTTTGCCATGTTAAGAATCACTGCGTGCCTATGCGTTGTGCTGTAAAGATCATACCAAATAACAAATCATGTAGTAATTCATTCCAGTGGTTGTGTCACTTCTTCCGCATGGCACACCGAGATGAGACAACAAAGTGCTATCTGAGACAAGAAAGGGCTTTCACCCAGTATGTTGGTATGACAAGAATGGATTGAAAGATATTGAAAGTTGGAGTTGGGGGACTTTACTTAGACTGGAAATCCAGGGCCATCCAAATCTGGGAGGCAAACTTCCCTTTGAAGCTCAAGTTCCGGAAACCTCGGGGCTTTGAGAACAAACTTCACGGTGCCTACTGGAGCCCAGCGGAGATATGGGGTTCCCAAATTTCCACCGAAAAAGTCAAACGATATACACTGCCTGTAGCTCCTTCGAAATTTCATCAACTATCAGAGAGATAAAAAGAGACGTCAGGTGTTCCAGTTGGCAACATGATCAGATGATGATCAGATGATGATACATGATTACATTTCATACAGGTAATATTATATATATAATCATGACAGTCATGATGATGAACCAAGAGGAACCGTTTGATAATACAAACATAACCATGACTATAAGTTACCCGGCCTGGTAAACGTTTACATAACGAACTGGAAAATCACCATGTTTCCATGGGGAAAATCCACGATTTCGACTGGGCCATGGCTTCAATAGCTATAACTTGACATAACCAGAGGGTATGTATCCCATTAATATCCCATTAAATCACTCTAAAATCCCATTAATCCACAGTTTTCCCATAAATCATGGTGATTTTCCATCGTTTTCGAGTTGAAGCATCTTCAATTCATATTAAAACTCGTGTGGCGACAACTAGGTCATCCCATATGATCCCCCGACATCCCGCCTCAGAACGCCAGGTCACATTGACGTAGCCTGGGCGCTTTCTGGTGAAAAACCAGGGAAAAAGGTCGTTTTTACTGGCAGAAAAACCGGGGGATTCACCAAATCACTTCAGCAAAAATGAGAGCAAATCAGCAGCAAAATGGGGATGTCATCGATAAACCCATGATAAGCCATGTACTTCAAGAGATGTCAAGGGCATCAACACATGGCATTCTTGGGAGCCAAGGTCGTCCTAGTCCGGGAAATCAAAGCCACAAGATGTTGAAAAATCTCATCCAACCTCACCAAGTCAATGGCAAAATCCAATCCAAAGGTGTTTCAACCACCTCACTCTTCAACTGTATATATATATATAATGCTATGTATATATTACATATATATATATAATATAATATACTATAATATACTATATAGGTATATCAGTATATCAAATAAATCACAAAATAAACAAATAAATAAATACATATATATATATAGATACATACATACATGACACACATGATCGCTATGGGTCAAAATCTCTTCACAAAGTGGATTTCTTTCGAAATCTCTGGATCCAGGGTCTACCAGGGTCTACCATTGGTCGAAGCAGCAGTGACAAAACAAGGTGGTCGTGGTTGTGGTGACAACACTGGTACTCCGAGGCCTCAGCGTGTGGATAGCGTGTGGATAGCGCGTGTTGAGCGGAGCGAGATCAGCGGAGCCACTTCGGATGGGTCCATTGTTTCGGGATCTTTGGATGTGCCAAAAAAAATGCCAAAACCATGTTGAAACCATGTTGAAACTGAGATCCAAACTTCGTATCCCAATCTTCAGCTTCATCCTCGTCTTTTTCTTTGGTCGTCGTCGGCTTTTTGGTGGTTTTCGCGCTGCCACCGGCGCTGCCACCGGCGCTGCCACCGGCGCTGCCACCGGCGCTGCCACCGGCACCTGTCGTGGTAGCGGCTGCCGCAGTCGTTGTGGCCGTGGTGGCCGCTGTGGTCGTAACGCTGGCACCGCCGGGCGGCGTGGTGGACTTTGTGGTGGACTTCGTGGACTGCTTAGCACCTCCGGCGCGGGAATCTGGGAGCAGGTCAGATCGAATAGCAAATCACTCAAATCACTCAAATCACTCTCTCATCATTATCAAAATCCATAATAGAAGTTCCTTAGCCTTCGTGTGAAGTTTGAAGAAATTCAGTTGACCGTGGAGGAGGAGAATAACGGCTGAAACTAATTCTCGCAAAAGTTCTCGGCATTCTGCATGGTTTCGAACGATTCGAACATATGGGTTTGTCTTGAAATTATGGGGAAACATTTTGGTTCATCGCCATTTTCTCGATTGAAATGGCCATACATCATGTTGGAAAGGAACCTTCCCACATTTCGGCCTGTGCTCTGGCTAGTGGTCGTTGGAACGCCATCACTGCCGGGTGGCGTGGTGGACTTTGTGGTGGACTTCGTGGACTGCTTAGCACCTCCGGCGCGGGAATCTGGGAATCAGCAGGTCAGATCTTTTCCCGATAATAAACATGGCTATACATTGGGGGTATACACCATTTTCTGACACAATGAAAGGATGCAAACCCTCCCACATGCAAAGGCCTTTGCTCTGACTGGTGGTTGCCTAAGTGACAGGAACATCATCACAACCATCTTAAGTGTGGAGCATCATGGAGCATCCATGCCAGCCATTTGGGATCACTTTGGCGTGGAAGATAACAACAATATTATACTTCGTGCGTTCTTACTATTGCATACTATCTAACATTCTATCTGAAACATATTCTGACATTTTCCTCTGCCATTCTATATGACATTTGATCTGGCATTCTATCTGACCTAGCATATATTCAAACATTTCATCTGGCACTCTGACATTCTATCTGACATTCTTTCTGACATTTTATTTTATCTGGCATTTTGTTGTGCATTCTGACATATATTGGGACATTCCATCTGGCGTTTTATCTGACACATAGACATATATATATATATACATATCGCATAATTTGAATATTTGGCACTTTCTCGTTTGCATCCGTGCGTCCGGACAGTGACGTCTGAGACTAAAATGGCCTGGGAGGCAAACTTAAGTCTATTTTCATATTAACCACTCCTGGTTGGTGGTTTCAACCCCTCTGAAAAATATGAAAGTCAATGGGAAGGATTATCCCATATATTGTGGAAAATCAAATTCATGTTTGAAACCACCAACCATATATATTCATAACCCCAACCAAACCCCCAATCAGACTCAATTATTGGGGTACTCCATTTTGGCCCGCTAAGGACGCGGCGGATGCGGATCCTTCGGTCTGCGGCGCATCGTAGTCGTCACCGTCCTGAGTGTCGGACTCCTCATCCGCGTCATTCTCGTCTCCTCCATCCGGGACGGTGCAGACTGTTGCTGATTTGTCTACAGAGAAGGAGGTATGTATATATGTATTATATATATGTATATTATATATATATGATATATATATATATATTTGTACAGACAGTAGAGAGAGTAGATAAAAAAAACGATAGCATAGATAGACGAGATAGACTATTAATCTATTAGATGAGATAGATTATTTTGACTAGATAGATTATTTGGATAGATATACTTAGATAGATTTAGATAGATTTGGATAGATTTCGATAGATTTGGATATACTTGCATAGCCTTGGATAGAGTTGGATAGAGTTGGGTCGATTTGGATAGATTTAGGTTTAGGTTTAGATTTCGATAAATAGATAGATTTAGATAGATAGACTTAGATCGAGATAGTTTTAGATAGATTTAAAAGAATAAATAGATAGACTCAGATAGACTCAGATAGACTCAGATAGATAGATAGAGTTAGATTTAGATTTAGATTTAGAGATAGATATAGAGATAGATATAGATAGATATACATAGATAGATATAGATAGATATAGATAGATAGATATAGATATAGATATAGATATAGATATAGAGATAGATATAGATATAGATAGATAGATATAGATATAGATATAGATATAGATATAGATATAGATACAGATATAGATATAGATATAGATAGATAGATAGATAGTTAGATAGATAGTTAGATAGATAGATAGAATAGATAGAATAGATAGAATATGAAAGAATAGATAGAATAGATAGAATAGATAGAATAGATAGAATATGAAAGAATAGATAGAATAGATAGAATAGATAGAATATGAAAGAATAGATAGAATATGAAAGAATAGATAGAGTAGATAGAATAGATAGAATAGATACAATAGATACAATAGATACAATAGATAGAATAGATGAGATAGATGAGATAGATGAGATAGATTAGATAGATTAGATAGATTAGATATACTAGATAGCTTATAGATGGATTAGATAGATTAAATGGATTAGATTAGATATAATATTTGGGTTATTTAGATGATTCAGATTAGAATTATAGAAATAATATCTGATAAGATAAATTAAAATATAACATTGCAGGGGCAAAGGGGGCCGAAACGTGGGTTTCCGACGTTGCGCTGTGACGCTCCCGGGGGATGGTGGCGCTGCGACGCTGCGACGCTGCGACGCTCTGGGGGGCGGGTAGCGCTGCGACGCGGCGACGCTGCGACGCGGGAGCGACGCTGCGACGCTGTTGGCGCTGCGACGCTTCCTTCTGCAAGAGTGCACACGGCGTTGCTTCGCGGCGCGACACGCTAGATGTATATAGCACATGATGCAATGCCTTGCATCAGGGATTGCAG